AGAGTCCATTATGAATTAGACATGAAGGACTTCGAGAGTTGGTTGCGGGCAGATTCAGCTGTGAAATGTTTGTCCGTCATCGCTGTTGGTGTGGGTGCTGAAGGAACCTAAATTAAATAAAGCCAAGTTGGCTTTGGTGAGGCAATGTGCCAATTTCCTCCCGGCCAAGCCCTTTGGTTGAATGTATGGTTTTTTGCATCTACCTCGGTCATTTGATATGCACACACGAGCCCCCGTGAGCTTTTGAAACTTGACAGGTCAAACCACTTTTGACGAACTTTGTACGCGCGCTATTTGAACACGTGCGTGAGCACGTGCCATACGCGCAAATATCTCATTAACTAAGATCGATTCGCCATTCTCTCCTCGCTTTCCTTGAAATTCCTCCAATGCGTGCAACATGCAGACGGAAGTCAAATACAATCATGTTTGAACAGCTTTTATATACGTATCTTTCACGTCTGCTATTGCATTCTGTTGACAAAACCCAAGATTATCGAATTATCGTCCGAGAATTCTCACGTCACTCAAGTGTGATATACAAAAAGGTTGAAAAATGACGTTTATAAATCCTTTGGGTTATTGAACCATTTCTCAAAATTTTCAAATACAATATCCACTGACTTCGTCCGTCTGTTTCTACCGCGCAGTGAATACGGACTGCGTGTTTTCAGATATTTTGAATCGCCCTGTAAGATCCTTAGCTGCCCGGATTTAATCAGTGGCGTCATTGTGAAGCCAGACAGTCTGGACGACGTTTCTTCCATCTGCAGGGAAACTTCTAGTGAGTTTTCCAAATTTCCTTCACTAGATCACTCCTTAGGCTCCGGAGCGAGAGCTCCCAATCAAACTGATGGACACAGATGAGTGGGTGGAGATGGAGATGGCCAGGTTCAATCATGCGATGGCTGAATATCAGGGTTGCACTATTGATACTGCTACAGATACAGAACACCAAGACTCCATTGGATGAGTAGATCAGGACGAGGTCGCCATCCCCAACCAGGCTGCGATGCCTTCACGAAACACATTCGGTGTCTCTAGAACACCATCATCTCGTTCAATCGAAGTGGATCGATTGAGCCACCGAAATTCTCAAGAAGAACTGGGAAGCTAGTTTGATCAGGTTGGCATATTATCGGTTAGAATGTCCTACTTGCCGGCCGCTAGCTCATCTTCTCCGGCGGCCCCATTTTGTATTAACCTCATATCGCACCTTATCCGATAGGCTTTGTTGATATTTTGTTTTAAACGGTCCTAAGCGCGCATTCTGATTCGACACGTAACAACTGACGCTTGGCGGCGCTAGGTATTCACACAATGGAACTGAATTTTCGTAAGCTACGACGTGTCACTTTGGACAAAAAGAAGCAGGAAGTTGAGTTCAGAGCACGATTTCATACTTGCGAGCTCCGTCTAGGTATCCTGTGGCATCCTGTGGTATCCTGTGGCGTTTTTGGATAGCTCCATTCTCCCCTGGACCTTAGATTGGCTTCACTTACAGGACACAATCTTCCTTATTTTGTTCGCCTTTGTTCTCCTCCATTTTGATATCCTAAGAATACTCAGGAGGGAGCAAGAGTCAACGACGGGTCCTCAACTAGCTCCAGGACAGGTGAAAATGACCGAAACGAGAATACCGAGGAGAAAGTCGCAAACGACTTGACATATTCAGGAGAGGAAACAGTTTATGAGACCACACTCGGAAGTTTTACCCTACAGCTGCCGTAACTCCTAGACTGTAGGGTTTTCCTAAAGTCTACAAGAAAAATTTTGATTTAATGCCATTCCAGATGCGTGGAATTACTCCACAGACGATAGTGTCCAGTGGCTAATTAAGATTTTAGAATCTGATTGCCGAAATTCTGGCTCGGTTAGTCTCCTAGATACTGTTGAATTTGAGGGCCCATGCAGGGCTATGATTCTAACTCCTAGCTGCTGTTCCATCAAATCCCGTCCGTAAAGACCATAAATTTGGCGTGAGTACATTGATTCATCAGAACTGACACCTCAACTCTCACCATCGCCTTAGAGGAACTAAGTCTGCCTTGTATCCTCATCGTACAATTTCATTTTGTTTACTCGAACGGACAAACTGATACGGATAACATGGTCTCTCTTTGTGGTCCCAGTTGAGTCCACGGACGGAGTTAGGCACGCTCAGCTGAGTGTAGTTTTGAAGCCGATTGGGGCCATGTAGTGTTTCTTAGTGGAGTCGGCTGGACTAACGGCATGGCGTTTTGGGAACTGAACACCTGAGCACTGCCAAAAAAGTTACATTCTGGGTGCTTTTACACCTAACTCATGAAAGGTAAAAGTTAAGGAACTATGGAGTTCTTATAATTGGTGTACACCTATTCTGAACATTTTGCTCCCGCATTCTCAAAAATAAGTTATGAATTTGGACCTAGCGTTCGCGTTTGCTTTTTGACTTATTTTCTGGAAAAGTGTGTTTGATATTTGCAAAATCGTCAGATGTGCACGGACACACAGGAAGATAAACGACGCCCAGTAGCGTAACCAAAGTGATCCCCAAATAAACCTCGTGAAAGTAAAACCTGACATGGTAGCACCAAAGTTGGAAAACAAGTGCAGCTCACTTGACACCATGGATTGGCATTAATGATATAGGGGCTTTTTGCAGAGTTGGTAGACGATAGCAAAACCAAACTATAACATATACTATATAACATACTATATATAACATACTACATAACATACACTACAACATACACTATAAAATATACGTACTATAACATATAACGTATGCTACACAAAGTGATATGCATACCCAGCATGAGAAGATAAGATCTCGACTGATTTAAATGGATGGTTGGTTACTAGCATTTCCTACTCAAACTATCAGTCGCAATGTTGGATTCACGGAAGAGACAACCCCAATCGTCAGAGAGACTGAAGTTGCTACAGATAATTAAAGATGGAAACTTTACTGGCGGTCTCGAAGAAGCTCAATGTTGCATAGATTGATTCATTCTATCGTGTATGAAATGGACAAGCTATTCTGCATAATGACCTAATTGACTAACATCGATCAGGCATTCTCGACACACCTCTCGACAAAGCAGGTCGCTTTGACCCCATTAAGCAAGTCGTTGATTGAATAGGACTGCTTCAAAATCCAAAGCCTAAGGCATTGACAGCGCAAAAGAAATTGTGACATTTGATGCACGCATCTGCATGATCGTCTGCCATACACTGACGTGGTACCAAGTAAGAAGAAAATCTTTATTTTGGGAAAGTCGACATAAGTTTTGTGAGGATGAGAACATTAAGATTGCAGTGGCCTGGAGCCGAAAGACCCAGGATCAAGGAGGGTACTTTTGAATTTGGAGACCTAGTAAGGGAACGGAACCAAAGATGGTACCCAACTAAAGCATCCTGGGCTCACCGGATCGATTTAGCAGCATCTGACCAAAGATAATGGACGTAAATTGTCTGAGGCGTCTTGTTACGTCTTTCATTGGTGGGACGTATGCACACAATATCCAGTAGCAACTCTAAGGTCACTTATACGGGAATTCGAACCCGGGTCGTCGAAACGGAGGTCCTCTAATTTCCTCACCGGGCTGCCAGAGAACGGTTTCCACCGTCGTGCGCAGAACTATCAAGTGATGTTCGTATGCGCTACGATGGAGTACCAAAGCTCCTATGAAACGTGTACACCTGAAGGCACGACTTGGAAGATGCCATTCCTGAAAGTCATCAGCACTCATCATTGTCAGCTGTATTAACCGCGTACTCGTCGTAAAGTGGTTGTAGCTGCCGCAGTTTCGTTCACCGATGATTTGGGGGAGGGGGAGGTAGCTGCGCATTGCAGGCGGGAGCTGATAAATTGGTGGATAAATGCAGCACTGTCAGTGGGATGTCAAGGGGGGGAGTGGGGGGTTGGAAACGGAGCTATGCATTGAAAGCAATAGCATGGATGCACGAGCGCCATTGAGGGCACGACTGGGCCATATCTGACAATGCGTTCCTGAAAGTGACCTCTTTCTTACATCAGTTCCTCCATAAAACCCAGTGCAAGCGGGAGCTGATAAATCGGTGTATAAATCCAGCACTCTCAGTGGGATGTAAAGTGGGGGGGGGTTGGAAACGGAGCTATGCATTGAAAGCAATAGCATGGATGCACGAGCGCCATTGAGGGCACGACTGGGCCATATCTGACAATGCGTTCCTGAAAGTGACCTCTTTCTTACATCAGTTCCTCCATAAAACCTGGTTGGACATCAGATAGAATGATAGTCGAGGTTTCCACGAATATTTCTGATAAGTTACACACACAACACAGACGTTGTCTAGCGTCTAAGAGGAAGAAAATTTCGTCGGGGGTGACTGATAATGCTTTCATTTGACTTCTGCTAATCAGGTCATTTAATTTACGGATGACAAATACGCAAAGCACTGTAAGATTTTCCCCGAGTATGGTCCCTCACTTACCATTTCTGCGTAATGATATACGCCATCCGACCATTCGTTCCGCGCAATTCGCACACATCGGTAACTAAGACGATTTTATGCAAGTTACTTGTTTAACTTGTAAGTCTCATGCTGTCTGACGTTCTATCAGTTGATGCTGCCCCTTTCACAGCCCTGCATTTTCCCGTACTGCCGATGCTGATGTAAGTGCGGTGAACTCTTAATCCATTTAGAACCTGTAAGTCCCTCAACTAGTGTCTTGCTTACCCCATCACTGGTAGTTTACTCACTTCGATTGTATGCCGTTATTCATTAAAAACTTGCTTTGAAATCGTTCACGTGTCGTCACTAATTGGCCAATTCAAAGTAAAAAGTTGCAACGCGTTGGTGTTACTGGCATAGGGACGCCTGAACTCAGAGGGACCGATAGTAGCCACTCCCTGGGAATGTGTGGACCGCCCCGGATGCCACCGTTCACTTGGGAAGGAGGATACATCGAGCATTGCGGCCCTAATTTGTTCAGAGTTCACCCGCCCTTCTGGTCCAAATAAATCCAACGCAATTTGTCATATGGTTATATTATTTGTATTCACGAACTGTCTTCTTGAATCCATTGCAAATGAAGGAGAGAAACAAATGAGCGCACGAGTTAGCGAAAATATTGGCCGGCAGGAGCAAAACACAGAGAAAAAAGAATCCCCAGACCACGAACATCCGATGTAAACCATGGGATCCGATGAAACAAATGAGGGAAGGAACGAACGCGCACAAAAAAGCAAGTTCGGAGTCACAGCGAAAGTATGGAAGAAAACAAGAGAAAAGCTGTGTTCAAGTGCCTGTCAACGTGTGCGTGAGTGAGCACGCCGTAATTATGTGTCCATCAACACAGGGTGAACGGTGTAGAAAAGGGGGAAATATGAATGCAAAGTGCAGTGATGATAGGAAATATTACTAATAGAAAAATTTAATCTCTCTGAAAGGAAGAAGCGAAGGACATGCCTCACTGAAAAGTTACCCGAACTGTACGAATAAAGTGGTTGGAGATGTGGGAATTTGGGTGTTCAACAGCCTATTTAGGGCGCTTTGGGTTGGGTTTCTTCAGGGGAGAGTTCAGGGACGGGTGTTTTTGGTGAAGAAACGGGAGTGTTTTCTTCGGAAATACAGGAAACAGGCAACAGGGATGGTGAGTTAACGGACCTGGCAGAGGATGAATGTGAATGGGCCGGTGATGAGGTAATTGTTGGGGAGGAAATTTTCTCACCAGAGTTCTGCGGACCGAAACGGGATGACGACAGATGCGCATGGTCACGCAGATTACGCGTTGAAACTCGATTAGATGACTTTTCGTCTGAATGAGGTTCCACCGATTCGGGTTTCCGGAAGCCTGTAAAAAAGTAGGAGTACGTAATAATACACTGAGCGTTGGAGGCAAACCAAGAGAGTGAAAAAGATATTCCAGTGAAGTACCGAGAAAACCTATGCATGTCTATCCAAGTACCACTGACGCTTCTAAACGTGAGGATGATACACATTCAACTTAAGCTGGTTAAATTACTTTCAAATGACAGCAACGCCAATCAACTAATTTAAATTAGTGCGTATAAAATTCGAGTGAACACAGTGATCCTAATAAAAGTCGGTAGAAGAGGCATCTGATATTAAGATAATAGTTAAAGTGTGCTTCTCTATCGAAACGAAACTGTTCAGAGCATTTCCGGTCTTCGCAGTCAGTGGACGGGTGGCAAAGCTCAGTGTGAGAGCAACACGCCTTCTAGGTTACACTGATGAACACGAACGAAAACTGACGCCGTCCAATTACACTTCAGTCAGCATAAAAAGATTACTAAACCGAATTCCTTAAAACCTACCAATGTCCGAAGGTCATGCAACCCGACAGCAGCGAGAACATCGAGGCACCACCCGACAGAACAAGCCTAAGACGGGCAGTCAGAAACCCATTGGTGTGAACTATTGATATGAGTTATCATCTTAAGTACTATGCGGGTGCAACAATCACACAGACTTCAGTGAGCTGAAACATCAAGTCATCAAAATTGAATTCGTTTACAGGTGTATATGTGCGCACAAAGGCCGAACAACGTTCACGGGAAAAGTTTCAAGTCCAGAAACGAAACGCGCAGCACGGTTACACTCTGTATATCACACAATAAACCAGCAGCTTTGATAGTCGGCGCGATGAAGGACTCTTGTACGTGACAGGCCTAAACCACTACGAAGTTGCGCTACAGGTGAACTGAGTATGCCACTTCGTAACAAACCCACTTCAGCGAGGGGTCGGTTGTGGATTACAGCTCTTACACTGGTTCTTGGCTCGCAGTTCCACCCAATATGGTACATTAGAGATCAGTTCAGTTTTCCAACTACAAACTGTTTACCCGAGTAAAGTGATTTTGCAGCACACCCGCTCAATCGACGTGATTTTCGTTTATTTCGAACGCCTCGCCTCCGGACAGAGTCCCAGCCCATCTGTGGTGAATTCGCTCGGTCACATTAATCAGGCGTTTGCAGTACCGGATAGAATGAGAACCCCCAGCAGCCATCGTTATTTCGAGTGCCCAGAAGCACCGTATTTCAAATGATCGCTCGATAGGAGGCTGTTAGGGTTAGGCTTAGTAGATTCGATTCAATTCAGGATTGATTGAAAGAACCAAATGGTGACACTTTTCTCCTCAGTGGTTGCAAAATTCCTTTCTCAACAAGAGCATTTGTTCATTGCAGGTGGCCCAACCATGTTACACGTTTCTCATTGAAGTTTCAGCTCTGCCCTGGTGCATATGTGATAGAATATTCTGCTCCGCTATTATGTTATTAATAACGTATATTATTATTATTATATTATTATTATTATTATTATTATTATTATTATTATTAACTTATATTACGATCACCAAACTTTGTCAGTTGGAAACTTACACGCGAAGATCTTTTGTAATTTTTAGCCAAGACTCGAATATAACAATCGGAATGGAAACTTTATAGACGTTAATCCATTGCCGCAGCGAATGGCGTTGTGCGTCTGCAAAACCAACTCAAGTCCGGAAATATTCGGGATAGTGTTTCAGCGATGCTTATGACAACAGCCATCCAGTCTACTGATATGTCTGAATCAGTGGCAAGAAACATTTCTGTAGCAGAGTTACCTGCCGCCGAAAACATTTGAGGAACCATGAATATCTCAGGCATTTTTAATTAGAGAGATAAATGCAACCCGCTACCACTAAAAGCTCTATCCACGATAGGGGTGTCCTCCTGTGAGGGACACCGCGGTAAGAGGCACCTACTGTGACGTTAAACCAGGGGTACAGTTGTTTAGCATAAGGATATACGGAACCTTTCGAGTGTCACTGTCGAAAGCACTTGCAACGGAGAACTAACCGGTGGACAGCTGAGAGCTGCTCGCCTGTGACATACTCGAAGACGGTCGGGATATAGGATCTTCTAATTCCTGACCGGTCGTCGGCAAGACGATTTGGGAATGCACAACACCTGAAAGACTCTTGGAATCGAAATGGTCGAAAAGTTGACTGTTTCCTCGATCAGAATGGGGCAAAGAGGCGGTGGAAGCACGCCGCTGTTGAGATGTTTTGACCGGCAACTTTGAAGGGACAGTGTTGGTGCAGTTCTGACGAAAAGAATGGGCCGTACCATACATAGAGATGGATGCGGCATGCTTGGAAGTGCTTGAACGGGAGGACGGCTTAGGGTAGAGCCCAGTCGTCATATCACCAGTAACAGATCCCTCGCAAACATCGACAACTGATTTCCAAGCAGCTGCTGCAAATATAGGGCAAGTGTAAAATTTAGCAGAAGCACACATTACAATAAACAACAACGCGTCGGAGAAACTGCAATCATGCACACGCGCACAACGTTTTATCAGCGGATTCATGCATTAGTCGTGAGGTATGCATGCAAGACACAACACATGGTTATTGGGACACCAGGCTTACACATGCACTGCTGGATGGTAAAAATCCCAACAAACCTTCTGGAACGAGGGCTGTAGCACCGGGATTAGGTGTGACGATGAACTGCCAAAAATGCGCGAAAATGAGCTGAAATGAGCCAGGTACTGTCAGTAGCGTGATAAGCACTACCACCCTTGCTCTTGAGGAGGAATAATCAAGATCCTGGATTGCCTCGAGAAAGATGGTTGGAAGGGTTGGCTTTAGTGTTTGGCATCAGCAAGTAGAAGGCGTTATCCTGACCGGGGCCAGAGATACGCCGAACCGTCGTGTGCCTCGGATAAGATGTACGATTCAGCTGATTCCGCGACCTGTCAGACCCGGTACCCTGATGGGAACTGATACTGCTATCGCCACTGCTGCGTAGAGTATTATAATGATTCGAAAGTGCGGTATGCATACGAGGGTCACGAGGTAATGGAGCAAACATGGGAGCATAGGATCGGCGCGAACGGCGATGACGAGATGGAGCTAAACCCACAGCCACAGCTAAATCGTTGAAGCTAGACAAGCGCTGACAAGCACCTTAATGCAGAATGTGAGAGGTGAACAAGAGAGAGAAAAAGGGAACATTTAGACGGTAAGAGTAGTACTAGCAAAAGCTATCAAAGTAGTTTATGAGGATAGTTAGCGTGTGTGAGGTCAACTAACAAGAAACAGGGGAAGATAGGTAGAGTAAGGATGAGTGAACGGAAGAACACCATTGATGTTAGCAGGATTACTGGTGTTCATCCATCCCTTCGTATTCGGTTAATTCAAGGAAGGTATGTAGTCATCCACTGATCGAAAGGGACAGTATTCAGCCACAGAACTTCGGAGATTCCATGGAGGCTTACACTCTTCGAAAATCAGCGTAAACACGGTCTGAAGATTGGCGCCACGAGGGTGTTCATCGTCAATGTAACGATCAGCGCAGTATATGAAACGTTTGCCACGTCAGAGACGTTCCTTGATGTTTACCACTATATCGGCTAACTAATCCGACGTCGTGATGCAGCACAAAAGGTCTTTTGTGGGGTCAAACCACCGGCAAAACATAAGAAAGTCACACATTACATAAGATTGTGAAAACTAACCTCTCGATCGTGATCAGATATGTTACTCGCATAAACGGTACAAATAAAACAACAATGTTCGATAGATTACCAATTTCACGAACACGAGTCCTTGAAGCAGAACTTACCACGACAAGGATCATTTTTTGCTAGAAACTCGTCCAGAGTGGTCCAGCCACCGCCAACGCGTACCATGACAGCGCTGCGCAATATCCGCACAAGGCGCAATTTTTGTGAATCGCCAAACTGAAATAGGGAGAGAAGATTGGGCTAAAAGTGAACCGACTATCTATCTACCAGCAATAAGCAGCTAGTACAATGATGTAGGAGTTCAAGAGTCACTGACGTGGATGGGGTAGCAGACGGATAAAAATCTCACAGTACCATGACAGCGAGGTAGATACAAGCAGAAAAACCAATAAGTCTTGCGAGAAAGTGAGAGGGGAACTTACTCGGTATTTGTCGGTGGCCATCTTGCAAATCTGGTAGGTGTTATGACAGGTACACAGTCCAACCTGCCTTCTCACTTCACAGTTAATAGCCTCTTCATCATTTGGACCGACTTGAGACAAGCTAAGCTGACTGCTGCTCGTGTTATAACCGGTCATTCGTGAAGCGACATAACCGGCTCGAAGGGCATTCAAACATTCGCGATAGTCAATATAGCCATCTCCGTTGGCATCGAAAATTTCAGCCACCGTTTGCAGCTCAACACGGGTAGTTTGGAATTCTTGTGAGAGATAAAAAAAACATGAGTACAGTATCACGGAATGGGTGGAATATCTGGAAAAGGATATCAGCAGACATTCGAGCACGGCTACAAAGAAAATGAACGATGTAGGCTCCGAATACGAGTGATACATGTGGCGCAGAGATTGAAATCAGGTAAAGTATCGATGAAAAAAACAACGAATGAGCAGTGGGCTGGATGATCTGACATAACATAGCATTGGATCGGGATGCATGGATCTGATTAGTTGCAGTGTAGTACCGGGGAGACAAAACAGTATAGTTCGAAGTTGTGTTTTCGGGAGTGGCAACATTGCATTAGTCATGATGGGATGGTAATGACACGAATACAGCCAGACGACGGCATAAGTTTCGAGGTTTTGAGTTGCAGCGGAGAAAAGAAGACCGAGAAACGTGCTAGTGAACAGAACTGGCATCAGGAAAGATCGCTGTGAACACGATGACTGAGTTACTGCACAGATAGTCACAGGAACTGACAAGTGACTACGATCATTAATGAGCAAACTTGAGAGGGCAACGCCACTGTTTGGGTTTGAACCAGCAAATTATGAGTAATTACGACTTTGGGATGGTTGCTCAGTAAGCAAGATGATGCATGCTCTGATGGAAGAGAATAGGATCATGAAGTGCGGTCAGTCTGGTTTGTGTGAGATAAACAGAAGTTTGATTCTGTGTGCGAATTATCATACATCAAAACGTGTAGGTAGATGCGGTTGATTGGAAAGACGAGTATTTATGCTCGCCCGCCCCCCCTATCCGAGTGAAGGGTAACAAGCATACCTTTCGTAGGCTATTAATTTCGGTTCTTTTTACAAATAACGATGATGGATGAAGGATAACTGGCTGACATATACTCGAGTTGATAAGCCACACATTAAAAATTGAAAAGATCGGCCTTATATTCCCCCAATCGTGCACCGGCTCGACGAATGGTTGATGTCCCACATACACATACATAAAGAATGCAAAGCATACCGGGAAAGTTTATGTGCAGACGCCAAAGTAACAAAGACAACGGAGTTTGTTGTTTCCGCTCCAATAGCAAAATATACTGGTCCAAACACACACCAGAAACCAAGCACAGTGGAGAGTGGGCAAGAAAACTTACTGTGGGAGCTCTTTGAATCTGTAAAACATTTAAATTGGAGATGCACACCATGTAATCTTCACTGCGACATTTATCTGCCTGCAGCTGTCGTGGGAACTGAGAGCTGAAAAACTTCAGCATACAATCTAACCCTCAATAGGAAGCACTTCAGTAAATCACATGTATCGTCTTCCCGATGAATTTCCTATTCTCCAAACCTTGTGACTGTCCTGTTTTCCAGGAATAAGATGATATAACACAACGAAGATAGTCGTCTCCACTGTTGTAAAACTCTATGAGCTTTTTTCGAGAAATAAACTCATTTGCAAATCAATTTGGTTTTCAAGAGAGACGCGACTGAATCTCTCGTTCGCGGTACTCTACAAGTGAATGTGCTGCACACAGGGACTGCGCCTGCCTGATGAGCCCCAAGAAGGGCGAAACCGGTCGTCGGCTGTCGAAGAGTTTTCAGCAGCCTTGTGAGCTCTATTTGGGCGCCACTAAAGCGCCCAAGGGTGCGTTCGATTCTGTCTGTCGGTCAGTGCTGTTAACCACGCTTTCTAAACAGGGTATACCCCAGAAGTTTGTGAAATTAACCATATGCACATACTCAAACTTCTGGGCGCGAGAATGTATGGTGAGCTTTTCCACAAAAGTAGTGTCCCACAAGGACGTCAACTCTCTCCACTCTTGTTCAACTTCATGGATGATGAAATAATGAGGCGAACGCTGGTAAGAACGTTATCGATCTCCAGTACACAGACGACATTGTCTCCATAATTGAAGATGAAGGCGAAACGCAAGCTCTGTTGAATAAACGTTTGCGAGTTTGCTTCACTTGAGGTATCCCATACGCTAGACTACAGTAAGGACTGTATTGTTGTACGGTTGCGAAACATGGCTTATGCGGACAGACTATTTGAGGTGTCTTCAGGATTCTGACCACTCATGCCTCAAAAGTGTCACTGGTGTCGGATGGCGTCAACGAATTTGTAGCAAGGTTATTAGGAAGTATGTATTTGGTTATGCAGCAGGTACTTCAATCGCGGAAAAAATCCAGCACCATCAACTATGGTGACTCAGCCATGCGATAAGCATGCTGAGTGTTGTTTTCTGTGTCTCCTTCAGAACTGCACAAAGCGCGAGGTGGACAATGTTTGGCTTGATAGAAGGGCGTGAAAGAGAAAATAAGAAGAGTTTGGGTGTTGTTGGTGTAGTACGCCTTCCGGGATGAGGTTCTCGTGACCCTGCCTGCGCTCGGCTAGCGACATTGCAAGAAACTGGTCAATGTCAGTGGCTTTTGTGTTGCAAATTTCTTTCCAGATTGCCTGATTGACCGCTTTTAGGTGGAGACACCTCAGAACGCTTGCGACAAGCCGGTACCAGATACCCTCTGTCACCCACTCCCTCTTCCCCTTTTCATTCTAAGGCTTTAAGTATACTTAGATAAACTTTGTGGTTGTACGGCAGTGAAGCACCAGTGTCAACGCTGATGTTACTGTCTCTGATTTGAGTGATGATGAGCGGATCGATACTATTAAGGGATGTAGAAGCGCTTGTAACAACTACAATGATGAAATTACCGGAAGCCAACATTCCCGAATGGAAATTTTTCCTACATATAAAAGTTATCTGGCGAAGTAACCATTCACAAGATCAAAAATATTGGACAGCAGAAAATACTCACTCATTTCCAAGATTCCATCGATGAATTCTGCGTAAGTAAGACGTCCGTCATGATCAAGGTCTTTGCGGTGGAATAAATCAATGACACGTGACTTATTCTCATTCAACCAGGCCACATAGCGTTGGCGCCAGGATTCGAATTGGAAAGTTCTCATTTTCTCCACTTCGGACAAGTAGGTCAGTCTATCTCTGAGCTTCGTCCGTCTGGCCGCTAGAGAACGCTGTAACATCGACCAGCGTTGATAAAGTTGGTTCGCTGACGAGGAGACGAAATTGGGCTCGGTAGTCTGCAATTCGCTTTTGACTTTTCCGGTCGCTGGGCGACTCACGATGCGACCACTGGCTCGACCCCGTTGAAGGAATGAACCTCTAAGAGTGGATACCCGTTGAATAGTCCTGCGCTTTGCATGTTTCAAGATCAGGTCCAATACTGGCTGGCGAAGTGCCGCTTCGCGCTCTAGTTCGGCGTGCTCGGCTAACAATCGCTCTATCAATTCCGGCTCGGTGATTTCATTCAACGGTAACGTACGGTATGTAGCCACACTCGACGAATCGTCAACATCCGACGCCCCGAGAAACACCTGATCTGAACCAAGCGTAGAGATTTGGTCATTATCCTGGCTTTCGTCTTTGTCTCCGCCGTGAGTATCTACGGTCCGTTTTGTGGTACTAGCAAACGTGATGGTTGGTTCACGATCTAAGTGATCTTGTGTTGTCTTTATCCAGTCCAAAAGTTCAGCACGGAGAGATTGTCGACGCTTTTGATCATCTAAAGCAGCTCGAAGGCGATCGGCCCTTTGATTAGAACTAGCGATAAGCTAACACAATGGGTACAAAAGGTAAATCGAGAATCAAATGACATATGAATATCAACAAAAAAGCATGTCGACAAGTGAAGAAATTGAGTAACAATAAAATTCAGCAGGAATTACCCTACAAATCGGTAAATTCGGAGACGATTCCCTCCGTATGGATAACAGGGAGCGACTTATTCGGTTGTCTATTGAACACCATCCGTTCCTGGCTTCCCATGGTCAACATCAATTACAACTTTCTGTCCCTATTAGTGCGTGGTGATACTGGTAGACGAGACTCAGTTACGCAGTGCGCGGTGCTCTTGTATCAAAACCATCGCGTACTCAAACCAACAGACTTATTCAACATCAGCTAAGTGATTAGGCCATCGCCTTCAATGCCTTTCTGTATCACCCTTGGTCTCGCATTTTGCGGTGATCGAAACAGCAGAAGCTGGGACCAGAGTGTCTTTGGTAATGGTTTATAGCTGATAAAAGGACATCGACAACATTATAGCGTTGGACTAAGCTTATTCAAATGTCTTGGAATGAATTAGCACATAATTGCAGGCCAATGAATTGGTCTACCATTTCAAGGGGAAACCTCAGAAGGGGGGTGGTTTTTCAAATTGGAAGTGTCTTACCAGGGTCATAGGGTATGAAAAACAGCCATACACAAGGCGGCTACCGCAATAATGTGGTAACTGGTCGACTATAGAGTGGTTGTCAGTACAGTTTAGGTCGGCTGTTCTGTCATGGCATACTGACGGTTGAGTGGCCGCTAACACCAAGTAGTGAAGTAGTTACGAAGGTGGAACAAGTGATATTCTTGATATCTCATATTTTTGTGATATTTTGAGGTGTGAGTTGTGGGCAAAAGCGACCTGTTCAGAAGGGGTGAATTCTTTTCGTGGAACCTGAAGAGAGTGACTGGATCAACCACCCTGAAGGATTAACGAAGTTGCCATTTCCCCAGGGTATGTGCATCTCGGTGGACTACCGTAGAGAAAAACAAGTGGGTTTTTGCCGCCAGAAAAAAAACCACAGTCCAAAAACCGTCACCTACCTGAAAGAAACCATAACCATAGTTCGTCGGGCAGTCGGTTATTCGGAAAGACGTATAAAGGGGCAATCCAGAATAAGTCATTTTTACACATGATTCGACTTACATCACTCCAGCGACTCTGAATCGCATGTATCCACTGGCGTAAGCGTTGAACAGCTTCTGGATGGGCCTGGGCCATAAGCTGATTGCCTAAATGTAAAGTGGCCTGCACTCGCTCCGATTGGTCCAAAAGGTTCTTGTGTGTTTGATCATGAGCGTTAATGGCAGCTGCCAGGCTTTCCGGAGCCTCAGCGGACTTCGGCTTCAGTGTATCTGTACTTGATTCATCCTCTAGATCGTCGTAGGTTGGCAGTGCCGCCAAGCGTCGAATAACATGTTCAGCACCGGCAAAATAGTCCATCAAACTACGACACATCTCCTGGAATTGCACAGCCTGTGAAGAATGAAGATGTATAGTGAGCAGACGTATGCTAATTGCAGTATCGAGTGTCCAGGGCGTCACGAAGAGGGCACTCGTGACGAGCAAAAAAGTAAATAGAATCAGAGTTTGGGGCTTACCAACTTCAACGCTTCATCCAACCGTTCACCGCGTTTCTTAGTAAGCAGTTGAACACGATTCCAGACACCATCTAAATGATTTAGCTGTCCTTTGATAGCCGCCACATCGGCTTGGCCAATGGAACCCTTGCTTGCCTTTCTCATGAGCTCATCAGCAGCTTCATGGATGGATTGAATCCATCCGGCACGTTCATCAAGCTCCGACACCAAACGACGGTGAGCCTCAATTAAATGCTGGAACGCAAAACACAGTCAGTCATTGTAGGAGTACAAAGGAGCAGTGATCATTCATATGGGACAGGATGATGAAGTTCATGTGGAATTGTGCTTACCTCAACCGTATCCACATCACCGCAGTAGCCCACTTGATGTTCAGACAACTGGGGCTCCACACCAGATAGCCATTCAGTTAACGACTGTAGTGCTTCTTTGTATAGGCCGGCAGAAAGTAGTGCCTGCTCCAACATGCGCTGGCTGTGACGATTAGCATGAACAATTTAAAGGAAACGGTTAGGCACAGAAATTCCACTGTCGACTGAGCATGAATGGGAAGGTAACTGCGGTGAAAAAAGACCAAACCGATAGGATAAATAGTTCCCGGAGAGTACCAACAAAGCGCATCAGTTACTGCGTATCAGGAGATCGCAACGTTTAAGAAAAACAGCGGATGTTAATGCCACCTACCGATCAAGAGAGCGAGTGCAGACGGCATTCCATAGGTGCTTCAATTCGTTAACCATGTCATCCAATTCCTGGTGGTCACAAACTGGCGCTCGATCACGCAGATAACGTGCATAACGACGAACTGAATCGAATGTCACATTCCTCGCGCCCAAAGCACGCTGAAATTCGTAGTGTTGCGTTAGCTGATGGGCTATGCGTTCTGAACGTGTAGCTACGCTCCCACATTCTTCTTCCAGACAAGTCAGCTGTTCCTTGAGCCACTCGGTCAGAGTTGTCCAGTTATTCAGAAAAGTTTGAGCTTCCTATGGGGAGAGAATGGTTAGGGGAACTTAGGAATTACGATTGGAAGTTAGTAGGCGTGTTGTGGTGGTCATCCACGCGGGCAATTAGATGAGCGACCAGTATCTCACGTCTACGCACTACATCTTCTTCATATAAAAATGTCCAGTTAGGAGTGTAGGATATCTTGAGACTGTTTTGCTGAGGGATCAATAGTTGCCGACATGTTGATTTCACGTTGGATTTCACGTCTGTAACGAAATCCTAAGATTCGCGCAAAGACGTTATACCATAAAGGCGATATAGTATCAGATTGCCATGGCATGTGTCCCTAGTACTAAGTCATCATCTGTCCTCACAAGCTCTAACTGCGATTTCATGTGCAGAACTGCAGAAAACACAGGGTAGGAACTCGAGAAGAAGCGAAAATGGCAGAAGTCAGGAGAAAACAGTGGGATGTATGATGTTTTTCGGATTTGGTTGAAAACATTGGACATGGCTGAAAGCACATATAAGTGGACTTTATTACACCGCATCAAGATAGACGCTGAAACTGTAGGTAACCCAGGAGACTTATTGATCAGCAAAAAACAAGCCTCCCCTCACGACGGAACAGCATCCAAGAAACGGTGCTCACCACTAGTGAGCTTGTGGCTAGCCGGTGGCGTAAGAAGGGACTATCCACCTTGACGATGTCTTGTAAACTTAAATAATATGCACAGACAGGTATGTGCGTGTGTCGATACAACTAGGCCCGTCAACTATTCTGAACGAATAATAGTGAAATCCAGTCGTAGCCACCATCAATCTGTGGTGCATGATTTTCGTGGATCCCATCATTTTCGCGTAATGGTGCTTATGGGTTGTTTCCACAGTTTTGATAGCAGTAACCTTACCGGCGCCACCATCCTAAAAGTAAACAACGAACGTCAATTTAAAAACCAAGAATTAACGAAAATGCACTGGTTTATACCACCATCTACAACGTTGACAAGCATTGGCCTTTTCGGCCAGTCCAGTCGGCTGTCCCTGAAGACTGTTTTACTAAGTCTGGATATCAAACTCATCAATCACAAGAGAACAAACCTTCAGTCCCACATTTAGCTGTCGCGTTCGTTCGGCGGTGCGCGACAACAGCTGCTCCCATCGATTGTGTACACTGGACAGCAAATTTTTCACCAAGACTACATCTTGCTTTTGTGCGTTGTGCTGAACTTGCGCGCCCATGCGATCTAGAGATAGCAAGACATCCCGGTGACTGGCAATGCTCCTTCTGAGTTCTGCGTGGTCCAGTATTAGCTGGCCGAGACGTGTAACGATGCGACTGACTGGCTTCTGTTGAGCGACAGTGCGCTCCATCGATGTGAGCCATTGCATCATCTGAGCCAGCTCAGCGTGGAACCGTTCGACTTCACTGAGCCCAGACTGCAGCTGGTCCCGAATTGCAGTGGCTCGACGTAGCAGCTGTGAATGATGGTCTTTGAACCGGTCCAGTGCACTCGTGAGGCGTTCTGGTGGTTGGTCTGCAGAAGAACTTGCGCTGACTAAAAGAGCAGCTGAAGCCTTCCGGAGATCAGTTAGCTGCAGACGAAATAAGAAATTGAAACACGCGGATAACAATAAAAGCATATAATATTCACAACTAAGCAAGGCAATAATGCGCCGTGGTGACTTCACTGACAAACATTGGAGGGTATTAACGAAGGTCACGAAATACTAGCTATTCAGAGTTAGAGAGCAGCTCAACTGGCTTGAGGGTACGCAAATAGGTTTCTCAATGGGCCAATACGATAGCTTCAAAAAATCCACACAACTAGATAGGAAAACCCTGTCCGCAGATCGCCTATATGAACAATGATACTTTAGTTCGTTCACGAACGAAATTCGCTCGCTCAAGAGACATAAAACGAGGACATCGTCATGGCGAAAATTTTCCCCAGTTCACAACCACGATAAGTTACACAGACAGCACCCTATTCATACATTCCCAAACAGCGTTTATGAATTCAAACGGGATAGGTTTGACATTAAATTATAGCATAACATAATAGTCTTCCTTACCTTGTCACCGACCTCAACCAGACCGTTGTAGATCTCCATGAAACGACGCAGCTGCTCTCGAGCACTGTCAGGAAGGCAGCCCATTATGCGAGTTCCAGGAGTGGGAATGCGACTTTCTAATTGACGACAGCGTCGCACGAGGTGGTCGAATTGCCCATGGAAGTTGAACGTCTGTTGACCAACGAGAATACAATATTAGTGTAGTTTGTACCACAAAACAAAAAACTTAAGTTCGGAATCTTTGCTTATCACCGTCCGTTCCGCCAAAATAAAACGCCATGAGATGGAATTCAAATCAAGTAACAGAAGCTTTTCACATAGCAGTTCATGTCATACTTACCTCTCGCAAGGCTTCTTCTAAAATGCACTGTTTTTCTTTCGTACTAGCCTTCAAGTGTTCCCACATTTCGTTCATCGTGTTCAAGCGCTCGGCTGTTTGATTCATAGGGGGTTCGGCACTAGCCTTTTGGGCCTCGATATTCGATGGGACCTCAGGTGTGTCACGTCTCAAGGAGTCGATCCGCCTTTTGGCTTGCTCGTGAACACGCACCACTGCAAGTTGGTGGTTGTTGACGCTGTTTTGAATGATCTGCAAACGACATTCGAACAATTTTTTTGTCATACACTCTTGTTGAGAAACACATAAAGACAACGACACATGCACAACCTATTTAGTACCCTCAACCCAAATGAACATTTGGTGTTCATGCAAACCACAAACAGGTGTCCAGTTAACCGACTTTTGTACTGATCATGAAGAAAATGGGCGGAGATAACGCTCAACTAAGTGCCTAGCTTTACTCCGAAACTAACATATTCTTATCTATACTGTATACTTAACCAATAAGCAACAATATTCAAATAGCAGTCGACCACACCCTTGGTCGGACACCATAAAATGCGCGTTAGATCATACTGCTGTACTCAATGTCACAAATGAATGACAAAAGGGATGTAACAGTGACTCCCAATCATTCCGACACTTTCGGTAAAGCAGGCTGACATGATAAACGAGAAGTCAGTCTGAAGATGACTGTCACACGCATCCAACTTGGGCCATCATGAGTGCTGGAGTCCTGTTCTGTTAGCACAACTCCATGTACGGACAGACATAAACTCGATCACCATCTGGAACCCATGGGTTCGCTGAGCCGTCTGAATGACTTGATAACAGTAGAAAGCAACATATCATCATCCAGGATCACCCACAGGCTGGTCAGCAGACCGCACACTACGCCAGCCAGGTATGAACCACTTTAACTCAACATAGTGATGCCTTCTTATGCTACACTGAACCGGACTCCTATGGGAGCACACGTTAATGAGGGAAGACGAAATGTTGTCAGGCTTGGATCCAAGTGATGTCCGTATCATCCCTTGGCATTTGAGGTGCACAAGGGGAGGTTTGAGGTTCAAGAGAGTGCTAGATGCTACAGTTTTAAGATTAAGAATTGTGGTACAAGGGGTCGATGTTTTGTTCGTTAGATCTTCGACTTTTTCAAACGTGATATGTTAAGGTGGCGCTGAAATGCGCACTTCTTTGGTTTCTCCGTTCTGGCCAAACCTACTTGCTAAATCTATGGCTAAGCCAAATATTGGAAGCTACACGTGAGGGGGCAGGACTAAGTGAGAACCCTTGATGAATGAGTTACCTCGCCAGATGACCAGCAACCCAACAGGTCACTCTCTCCCCGGATCACCCATATAACATTGAGAAAGAGGGAAACAACGTCATCATGAGAAACAGCTGTAAACCACAACCAAAGGCAAAGGGGGTCGGTCATGATGATGAGTTTAAACTAGCCTCTGGAAAGGAGCGGTTCAGGATCGCAACATTGTACTGGTACCGACAAATCAGCTTCTCATACAACTGTTAATGGTGCAACCCAACCGAAAGTGAACCGACGAAATTCAAAAGGCGAACCAGAAATTCGAGTGAAAAGGTGCATACAAAAGATGAACGAGCAACACCACAAACGTGAGTTTGGTTTTACCGGTGCCAGTTGAATGAGATGGAACAAGAAAGACAGATGTGTTAAACGTGAGCAGTCAGTTCATCCTCGAGCAGAAAACAGTCCTTTAACGTTTGCGCGAAAAAAAACGGCAGGAGGTGAACCCATGTTACCGAACCGGGTGTCTGACTGAATTTGTTTTCCAACAGCATAACTGGTGGCTCTCAGAAGCCCAGGTTTCCCCTCGGGCGAACTACTATAATCACTTCAGTCCTTTGACAAGCGCAAGTCTTGCTGACAGAAGGAACCCGATGGTAAGCCAACATCATCACGAGTGGCTGCACGGAATGGTGTTGGATACGGGCTCAGAAAAGTACAAAATATGGCAATGGAAAGCAATTATCTTTCAGGTTTCTTGCGGCAAGAAAGCAGCGCGATGTTTATGTTACTTTTACATACAGGACGAAATCAATCCTCCAAGGGACAAAGTTAAGTACAGCTAATACAAACAGAAGAACTTCTTTTACAGATGCATGACAAGGGCGGAACATTCAGCACAAGGGGGCAACTGATCAGTCTTACGGACCAGAGTCGTGATGTGATCCCTGCACGATCAATCTGAATAAACCCATCTGATGAAAAAAATCCTTCAGCCGTAACACCCTCTCGGTGTCTAACTGCCATGCCACCCGGAGGAAGCACGAGGGTTGGGATACCGCTAGGTTGCTCAAGCCTAGACAGGGGAAGTCGAGTGGCAGAGGTCGGGTTCGAACCACGGACCTTCCGGTCGGTAAATCTGCGCTCTAACCACTTGGGGCATCTTGCCCCTATCTGATGAGATGAAATAGACGGTTTGTAGCAGTAGGCTGTGACACAACTGCTGGTCTGTAAACAAAAACCAATGCGATGATGTCTTCTTATTTATATTCGACTTTATCAGTGTGCATCTCAAACCACAATGTCATATTTTACATTGCATAGGAACGGAAGCCTAGATCAGATATGTCATAACTCACTTTGACGCGTGCTAAATCCGCCTCGAGACCCCGGATATTACCTCTGCGCACAGGGATCTGATCCACATTGGCTTGAGCCATCGCAATCCATTTGATCAAGGCATCAAGAGCTTGATCAAACTCACCAAGTCCCAGAAGTACAGTTTGAAGTCGATGACGTCTGTGATTGCCAGAATCGAGTAGAGTGTCCCAACGGCGATTCGCTCCAGCCAGATCTGACTGTAACGTGCTCGGGACAGTACTCGTAGGACCAACTGTATCTTCTGTAGCAGATAAAAGTAAGCAATAAGATAGTGACTGTTGCAAATCGAGGTCCGGTAATCAGACTTGGGATGAAAACACATGAGTCAACTTACCCATGCTCAACGTTTCCATTTCGTCCAAGTCTAGAGCACTGAGTTGGCTAGCGGACCAATTCAAAGCTTCTAAATCGGAATGCTTGTACAATAGGCCGTCGGTCCATGCAATAATTTCTTCCAGCTGCTTCAAAACGCTGACACTATCAGTCGCGATCGGAGCAAACTGGTCCCATATGACCTCCTGTTGGGAAAGCCACCTGATGAAATCTTCCAGTCCCATCTATGCGGGAGAGAGTTCACGGCATGTGAGAAAAAAACATTTATCAACCACAAAGTTAGGCATAATTCTGTTCATATCAGAATATGAGGTCAAGCTCCAAAGCAATAAATTACAGTGTAAAGAAACGCGACGGACAGCTTGAGTCCTTTACTGTTACATAACCGCTCGGGGATGACGTCAAGCGATGACAACAATGACTCACAATGGGTGGATAAAGTTAGGATAGTGGAATCATCCGACACTGGATGAAAAATCTGTTCGATAAAGCCTGGAGACCAACTAAATTTTCGGACAACTGGGTCGCCAATGAGGGTATTGCATCCAAGGCGCAGAGGAAAAAGGGAATCTTGACATTTAGTAATTCTCAGGCCATAATAATGACTCTTTGTCTCAGCTAACATAACCCCTTAGTTGTGCTCGTTTTGAAGGTACTGCTGGCACACTAAAACCCTTAATACTAATAAGGAGTATTACCAAAATTCTTTCAGAGATTCAAGGTGCTACAATATTGGCCAAAAAAGATCTACCAGTCACTAATAGTCACTAAGAAGTGGTGTGTACGTTCTTAGGAAGGTTCGAAGTGATATCTGGTCATGTACCATAAGTGACGCCTACGATGGATGTCTGTTGCAACCTCATCGCACCAGGCAAGCAAACATTTGAATTAAGGTCATCGGGACACACTCAAGAGGACCTAGATTGTTCTGCAATCGGTCGTGTCGACCTGAGTTAGGTTGTATGTTCTCTCATCGTGAATTGCCAATTAGGGTCAATTGGTGATAGAAGACTGAAGGAGTATGATATAAAGTGAAATACAGATAAACGAATTGTCGGGCATTGCATTCACAACCAATGCCAGGTAAAGTTACGAGCTGCGTTTAGCTATATGAAGAGCATGACTCGGTAGGCCGTTGAACTAGGCCCCTAATGCATTGTTTCAAATGTTGCCATTCTTAATAATTCTCAGTAATTCAATAAAGCGAAATGATCCCATTACGTAAAATTCACCGGTAGAGCCAGAAGATATATGAGCTGGCGAAGTAATGTCCCTCTGTCAGCCAAGTAAGACAACTCTCACGACTGATAGTAGTGGTGGCGAAGTTTGCCGCCAAAAGTACTGGTGTGATACCCTGCTTTGATTTGATTTCAAACGGAGGGCTTTAGTTGGGTGATGTAACCAGAAATCGCGGAATAACAAGGACGAAAGTGATTCGTGGGACTGATTGTGGCATAGTTCAAGGGCACTGATGTAAAAGTTGACTTGTTTTGGCAGATCAGGGTCACAGTCAGTTTCTGCTGAAATAGTTCCTTAGGGTGCGCAACCATCTCGATTTCCGATTCCGTGCCAACGTTCAAACCACCATTTGTGTATAAGAGTAGCTGACCACATACTGAAGAAGAAACTTGGGCCATCTTGTCCCGCTAGACGTTTTCGGTCCTTGATACAACCAAAAGCTCATTCTTATCAAGCCGAGCTACTGTTCGCTTTCTCAGCCTATCACCTTGAACTATGTTGGGGAGCGGAAAATGTGTAACCTTCTCAGATGCAAAAAAAACGAACCAACCACAGCCGCGGAACAAAACATTACAGACTGACTGACCTTGAACTGCTTAGCCGCAGCTTCTTGCTTGTCAATCTGCTTGGCAAGGCGTTGACAACTGGTGAGAAGATCCTCATGTAGAGCATCCAACTCATTCAAGGCCGAGTTTACTTCATTACGTATGGCCTGCTCCTCTTCACGGCGCAACTGAAGGGTGTCTTCTGGACTGCTGGCCCCAGTGATCAGCTGAATAAGCTGTGCGCCGGCCTGTTGACAGGCAGACAGTTGACTAGTCAAATGATCAACCTGTTGTAGCAAAGCACCCAAATCGTTTCTCTGCTGTACATAGCTGGTGGGATCCAACGGGTCTCGTCGGGTAGACGCATCGGAGGGATCGCATCCAGTAGCTATGATTCGTAGGGCTCCTCCTGCCAGGATAAGGGCAGCCTGGAGCTCACTTACCCTGGGCCAGAATCCCACCGAAGAGGTTTCGTGAATAACACTGAGTTTGGCCACACGTGCTTCTAGTTGTTTTTGTAATCCAAGCCAATCAGTCTGCAGCTTCTCAGAGGTTCGTAGCACTGAAAGTAATAAAAAGACGAATTTCAATGGACCAGGAACCAAAATCGAAGTTAACCGAATCACAAAGTCATGTTGGAATACGTAAGATAGTACAGACTGGAACTTACATTAGCGTGATGGTTTGTGCAATCATGTGATCCAGTGAGCTATTTTGAGGTGTCTAAACCGCACTGAGAGCGTCTCATTGGTCAATGGGTAGTCTGCCCAACGCGGTATCTTTTTCATCCAGGTTGGCAGTTGGAAAATGAATGACGTTAGTTTCTTAAAAACCAAACAACTGTGATAGTCTGACATCAACTACTGCTGTGTAACGCAATTGAAACCTGACTGTTCCCGCTCACACCTGTTTAACACATGACTTTACGTGTGCACCTCTCCCTCTCTCTCTCGCTTACGGGTATCCCGGACGAGTCACCATGAGCGCCGGACAAGAAGGAGTAGTCTGTTTGGACCCCCTCCACTGAGTGGCCTTGACTTGTTTTTCTGTGCTTCAAGTGACCTGTACCCGTTGTTCCGGATCCAGTTCCGGTATCGAATAAACGTGTGTTCGCAACGCGGTCATTCTGCTCTCCTATCCGTGCGTCGTGCTTGCTGTAACTACACGTGCTGCTGTGTTTGAGTTAACCCGGTGTATCCCTTGCCTTACAGCGTATTGCGTCGACTCGCCCACGCTACAGCTGCCTGCGCCCCGGCTTTGAGGCAGACTAATTTGAAAACCTCAGTTATTCACCCGCCTAGGTTTGAACACATCGCAGTGACCTAGACCACGTATTACCATGAACTATATACGCAAGTTTTGAATGATCATTTTAATAGTTGTAGGTGATCAAGCCACTAGTACCGGAATTCCCACGATACGCGGCAGCTTGCAGTATTCGCACGGCTAACCGTTTCGTACAAGGGCACGAAATAAGATAAAAATAGGTTATCGAGGTAACATATGATCACAGTAAAAATGCTACTTACGGGTTTTGTGAAGTTCAATGGCACGTTCTGAAACATAATGAAAAAGCAGGAAAGCCCATGAGTGAATGACGCTTACAAACCAGCTGGCAAACGCAAAATCAAGACACCATAGATACTGACCTGCATCCGCTGCAAATGGATCAACCATTGCAGGTGAGTCTAGTTGGGCTTTACGTTGTGTCTTGATAGCCGCCAGCTTAGGTTCTAGCTGAGCTCGTACGCATGCTGTCAGTGCTTCCAGTTCGGGAAGTCGGTGGCTTAGTGTTTCTATCAATTCCCGCGTCTCATTCAGATGTTCTTGCAGTTGATCCGGCTGCACGCTGACTATAGGTCGTACTCTACCGACACCAGCTTCGGCAAGTAGGCCAGACTGCTGGGTTGGTGGTAAGGTTGAGTCAACCATCTCTACGCCAGGAGTCGCAGAAGGCCGTGCCCAGATTGTGGACGGATCGATCGGGATGCCCAGATGCGAAGCCTGCTGAGCAACACCAGCAAAGAGGTCTGACATAACATCCAGTTGTTCGGCAATCTGAAATACCAACAAATCGCCGACTGTTGAGATCTAATCAGATTCTATAAAAAGTATATCTTCAGATATGATCAAATAACCTAAGTTACACTTGTATTCCTGTCAAAGGCGAAAGACAAAAATTATTGGAAGAATGGTGTTCCATGGCGATGACGGCATCTTTCTGGCGCCAGAAAGTCATACATTTATGGAACACATTGCTCTAAGCTTTAAGCGAAAATGCGGAGAGCCTGATATACATAACTTGGTTTCTGTTAGCAGGAGTCGGCATTGTGGCATTTAAGTTAGAAACACGAAAGATGCCCAGACAAAGGTGATGTTTCGCAAGTGTGAGTGGTGACACTGATGCCACACGAGGCCGCGAACAAAAAGTAAAATCGTCGGTCGTCTATCAGGTGCCATTGGAAGGCACTGACGATGTCTGCTCGTATGAAGGTAAAACGTTTGTCAGCCAACTGTGAATCTCGGTGAACAGACCAACTGCTCCATACTCAACAGCGAAAAAACCCACACATCGCCAATATCATAGCCTACAGAATACCAGGGATTATAATCCGCACAATGGAACGAAAAGAAGTAAGAATTAGGGGATTAAGAGCAAGGTTGTAAGGTCAAATCATTTTGGAAATGCGTGGGAACTGTAACGCTGATGATTACAATAGAAGTGGATTTCAACTGTAGGATCATATCCCTACTTAGGATTCCTTAAGACTACTTGCTGCGGAAGAAAACGTAGCGAGGATCGTGTATGGAAAATTGCCGAAAGCGTAGGATCTGAAAGGATTACCATTAATGACTACAAGGAGCGTCCCAAACCAGTTGGCTGTTTTCTTCGATCGACCTTTACACCGTCTCTTGTCTCTGCCACAGTTCACAAATCTTCTGGTCTGTTCGCCCACTGTTATTTTAGCATTTGCTTTCGCAGAAACGGCAATCTGATTGTTTTCCCCAGTTTCCTATGCTAGGACGCACTCTTATAATTGGTCACTCTTGGTCAAGATCAAGTGGGGTGTGAAACGCCAAAAATCACATGCACGGTATTTGGGCGTTCATTTTGCCCTAGAAGATGCTGTGGTGTTACTCAGTGATCCTGAACATTTGGAATGATCTTTTGGCATGCTTATTTGGAGAGACCAAGAGAACCGTTCAACTAGTGATTTCATACCTATCAAGCTCCAGGTTTGCCATCTACATTTGTAGCGGAGGTTTCAGGCAGTTTGTGTAAGCTGACGAGAAACAGTCTTGCGATCCACGTCAAGAACAAACACCCGGCATTTGCATCTTTTCTCTCGATCAAACCCCATTGCTTGAACCCACCGTTTTCCGCATCTACCTCATGTATTCGACATTCACCCAAGATCGTTCATCAACTCTCGACCCTTGACATATAGAACCAATTTCGACGAACTTTTTGCGCTAGCTTTTCGACCACTTGCGTTACCCCGTGCCGTGCGCCTGCGTTTGTCACTAATTCAGATCGATTGGCTGTTCTCTCTAGGCTTTCTCTGGACTTACACCAAATCCTGCAGCGCTCAGACGGAAATCCTCATGATGTGATGTTTGTATCACTTTCATATACGCATTTTACACATGTAGTAGCGCATTTTATTGGTAAACCCCAATGCTTTGCAATTCTTGGCTTGCAATTTCGCACGTCACTCGATTGGGCTTCCCAGAATACGTCAATTATTCTACACAGCATTTCAAATCAGGCAGATGATAGGGCCAGTAATTCTACTGACCGGAATAGAAAAGAGGGCCACTTATTTCATCACCCAGTTGCTTAAAGGCATATTGTTCCGTTTTTTCTCACACCTCGTTGCCTCACGTTGAAAAGGACAGCATGAGGCCGGATTTGCACCTTCTACCTCACAGTATCTTCTTTATTTTGATTCACTAAGATTTCGCCCTTTTATGAATACGTCTCTCATTCGACGTTTCACTTTTATGTTCTAATTGTCCACTTTGTTTCAAACCTCATTCCTCATGATACTGAATCCTCAGTGCCTCAACAAAATTCAACCGAGTAAAACGAGCAGGAACGAATAAAACTCGGGAGTCAGCACCCATCACTGTGAAAACACGAAAAGGGAACATTTCGGACTGGGATAAGCAGTCTACACCTACGGCGGCGAAGCATCGCTGTTGAATACTGATGTCATGCTGTCGATGATGATGATGAGCAGTCTTTGTTTAAGTCTTCTTGCTATCTCGGACAGACAAAACAACTTCACCTCGATGAGCTAATTGGGTTGGTGTGACTGTCAGTCCCTTAGTATCCTCATCCTCCGAACGAAATGAACTGAACTTCGGCCTCCTGAAGCAAAGTGAAGTACAACAACCACTGTAGTTTTGTGAATCTCAGGGTTAGCACAGTCGTTCTTGTGTTTAAAAGGTTAAGTCATTTGTATCTTTGTCAGTAGGGGACACCGAAATCAAAACGAAAAACAGGCGAACCACGGTATTCCGTTATTTCCAAAACTGAGAAGTCGGTTGAGAAGAAAACAAAGAGAAACTTGCCTCATCAGATTGCTTTAGCCGCGTTTCCACGCTGGTAAGTCGCGATTTGATTGCCTTCTGGAGTTGGCGATAGCGATCGGTGGCATTCCTCACACTATCTCGGATGGTAATCCCATTATTCTTAGCAACTAAGTCAATAAGGGGAACGCTTGTACGAGTGATTTGATCCAGCAGCGTTTTGTGCGACTCTGTTTTCTCATCGAGGGCCTGCAAAGAAAAACAGCTTGCGTGAATGCGGGGAATCATAATTATGACTATATCAATGAATCCAACAGAGGCATCATAAGGATAAACTCCAAAATTCTAGATGCCTTCCCCGCTACTTCGGGATGAGTGAACTAATGCATACGCTACCGCTAATGCCATCAGTCGCACAGCCTATTTTAACGTCGCTGAGTGGTTGATATCCAGTTCAACAAGTCAGTTGCTTTTGATTAGAGTACCAACGATTAGGTTATAGATTATTCGCCCTATTGTTACACTATGGCATATGGGAAAGCAACACAATTATTATAGTCGGCCGTGGTCAACTCCACCATCAGAATCTTTGCCACAGTGCACCAAATAATCAGAAGGAATTAAAAGTTATTCGCATGCCTTAAACCTTCTCATTGTCGCACTGCACTCACGCTCCCACCTCTTCCGTTAACAATTGGCCAGTGAAAAAGCTGTTATTTTCGAAAGATGTAGAAAGGTTACTAAAGCAACTAGGAGGTAAGGTGAGAGGCGCTGTATAGCAGTTTCATTCTGTTTAAGATTCACCGATGATGCTCGTAAGTAATACCTGAGACTTATACCGCTTCATTTAGTCAAGCTTTCATTCTGGTTTGATTGAATGAATAACGGAAACCCTCTTTCCAAAGCAACTACTCACCGGGCAGTAACTGATAAATGAGAACACTAACAGAATTGATGGTTCAGTGAACTTCTTGACGAATCACACAGATCCGGAAGAAATAGCCCATGAGTCACACAACGTGGGGAGAAATTGAAGTCCTATGAGGAAGCAGTAAATGGACGGGGAGAGCGAATAATCGACAAAAACTATTCATCAACTACTTGGACTTCCCTACAGTATGGAAACCACTCGTGCGACGCACCTTGATTTGTTTGTGCAGTACCCGTTCATTGTCTAATTCACCTAGTTCAGTTTTGCTTCGCGGTTCCAATTTTCCAGGAAGAGACAGGCGCTCAAGTTCTGCTTCATCTGCATTCATAGTGTCGGCGAATTCTCCCATGTCTTCATAGAACGATCGGGATAGTGGCAACGCCTCACCTACTCGGACTTCCACCTGACCAAGCCGTGTGTCCAGTTGGGCCATTCTTTTAGAGAGTAAATCAACGGCAAGAACCAGCTGTCGTCCCAATTTGTCCCCAAAGTGTAGACCGATAGTTCTTCCGCTATCTGTGATGCCACTAACACGTATTCCTGCAGCTTGTAGTAATTCATGGGCCTCTGTCAACAAAACTTGAGTTTTACTCTTCTGGCGCACTTCCCAGTTCTCACGGAAGTGATAGAGTCTATCGCGTACTTGACTCAATGGGCCATAGTTTGCAGGCAACACGGCCAACGAGGGGAATTCGTTAAGCAATGCGGACTGATCAGTAAATGAGGCCAGGGCATTGCCATCGAGTTTTACGAAATTCTTCTCTCCTTCTTCCGCATCACCGGTCCAATGTGCTGGATCGTCAGAGACAAGTGGGTCTAGTCGCTGAAGGGCAGAGTTCAACCAGCGCGATTCTTCGTCCAGTTTGCTCAGTAGAACGTTTGTCTTATACCGTGTGCTACTGACTTCTGCAGCCAATTCGGACAGCTAAAATAAATATGTGAAAGAGGATTTATTCATGAGCAAGAGAACACCGCCTCATTCAGATGGGTGAATAGACCATATCCCACGTTTTGTTCGAACGCTGATTCCAAACGAGTCAAAAGAAAGGATTAGCTACTCCACACCGTAGTGTGTATGAATGACATGTTCCAGAAGGATATTTGTGCCTGCTGGACATCTTGGTACAGAAACACAACTGTCGTGCATTAGAATCAGTCGAGACATGTTTCCACAATCAATTACTCGGCGATACTCTGTGATGCTGCTACTTTACACATGCTTGCCAACGATAAGAATGCTATCCTTGGAGAACTCAGCAAAAATAGCGAAGGCAGCAGGGTTATGCCTATCTGCAAACACATCAGTGTTACAAGAAGTATTCCTAAGGTTACTATCATTAGTAGTAGTAGCATCATACACATACACAAGGTTAACACTGCCCAGCCGGTAAGCCAACGACGCCAAGCTGCTCAGTATGCGTGCAATCAGACGTTTCCAACAGGGTGTCTCTATGCAGACTTTTGCCATGTTGTGGGTCAGCATGACAGTGTGTTACACGTAATCACTCGACTAACATGACCTCCGTGACGGATGAAACGATGTGATATCGTCGTGACTTCTCTCAAAAAGAAACAAAATACAGAGTTATCATAAATTGCTTATTGAGTTCAGATTACCGTTGACACAAGTCAGGTATTGGTGGTAGAATAAGGTGTATTATTCACTAATGGGAAGTGATTGAACGTGGGCCTAGTAAGTTATTTACAATGAAGTCATTCCAAAAACTTACCTCCATTTGAAATTTATCGAATCGTTGCAGCTCGGCTTCAATTTGTTCTGCGTGCTTGACTTCTGACTTTGTACCGTCGGGAAGGGTGAGAGTACGAGAAAAGAGCGATGGTGGAACGGACAGCTCCTGCAGTCGGTTCCAGTTGGTGCGGACGAGGTGAGCTTGCGGTGCAAGGATATTGCTCAATTCGGCCTCTAGAGCATCAACACCAGACCTTCTCAAGTTAATCGGGTCGGAACTACTGGCACACAGGGAACGTAACCGAGATTCAGCAGCCGGTAATCGTAAACCCAAGGTGGTGAGAGCAGAAACCAGTCGTTGAGTTGTTGGCAAGGCAGCTTCGAAAGCACTCAGGCGTTGCTGGATTCCACTTCGTAAATCACTGTATGCATCTTGCAGGGCACCCAGACGGTCACGGATTGGCTCTGGATCCAAAACTGTCATCATGATCAATTAAATGGGTTAGAAGTGGACACAAACGTTCGCGAAAATGAAGCTAAACTCAAAAATCTTGCATGGAGTGTCGGTTGTGAACTACAATTTGAAATTTAGAAACTACGTACGAAAGATACTTGATGTAGTCAAAATAAAGGCTATAATTGATGGCTTACCCTGTTTCGAAGAAATCAGAATATCCCCATCTGATTTCAGCTTTCGAAATACATCTCGCTTGGAGTCTACTTCTTTGGCCAGACTCTGTGAGATTGGAAATGACAGAATTGACAGTTGCGAGAGTATGTTAACACTTCCAAATCAGCTCCAATTTGCAATGATATTTGGTGTGAAGTACAACGCGAGAGGGAAATATGATTTCCACGTGAAAATAAACGCTAATTCATGTAAGGTGCAAAAGTTGAATTGTGAAGCTGTAGCTCAACTCCACCATGTGCATTCCTTGCGCGGTTTCGTAATGCCGAAGAGGCTATCTCCTAGCTCCCTAGTGAATTCATGACATTCTTACCCGAGGAGTGATGCCATCCTAAGAAAAGGGCGATCAATTGTCAAAAATACAGGAAAACATACAGGTGTTTATGTAAATTCTGAATGGGTGGAGCGGTAGAGTACAAGCATCGATGGATTCTGAGAAGCTCGTTTAACCTCATGGATTAATATTTCAAATAGTAGGAAAGTAGACGGGTAATGATAGTACCGCAACACTACTGGACTTTAGCTCATGATGCAGTGAACAAAACCAAGGCCTAATTACACCTTCCCGATAGCACGTCTCGGATATCATTTCATATGTGACACTCGTCTATTACAGCATACCCGTGTGCCACTTACTGGATGTACGGAGAAACTCCTGGGAACCTGGTGAGATCAGGATAAAGTGGGCGACCTATCAAGCTGAGGTGTCTTGTTGCGGTCCTCATTTCTCATTGTATGGCCGAGGCATTGTGTTCCCGTAGATGCGATTAGGTAGATGTAGGTAAATGTAGGTAGATGCATTGCAATGCACTATTGAAAAGACAACCTAAAAGCTTTCTAAACAATCGACAAAGGCAGATGGATACTAGGGTAGCAAGCATTTTCATACAAATATGAAAACTTTCGTAAATCGGCTGGCTTTTATTGACTCTTTATTTCATGTTAAACAATTCCGAAAGATGGAGCTTCGGCGTGTAGAATAAAAATTGCACTGAATTCTCAGAGGCTCACAAACACTGTCAGAATTCCGGTAAAGCTCAATTGGATCACAGTGTTTGATTCAAGATCTTTCGGGTGATCTCATACTTACCCTAGTTGACTTCAGACAGCTGCGAACGTCCGCCACCATTTTTGAATCGCCAGTTTCAGTATCTTCGGGTGCACCGTAGACTGGTTGGTTAAACCGATGGCGCTGTACCGTNATAAAAATTGCACTGAATTCTCAGAGGCTCACAAACACTGTCAGAATTCCGGTAAAGCTCAATTGGATCACAGTGTTTGATTCAAGATCTTTCGGGTGATCTCATACTTACCCTAGTTGACTTCAGACAGCTGCGAACGTCCGCCACCATTTTTGAATCGCCAGTTTCAGTATCTTCGGGTGCACCGTAGACTGGTTGGTTAAACCGATGGCGCTGTACCGTCAACCATGAGTCGACTTCTTGGATTCTGTCCATCAGCTGCTTTTGCGTAGCTTCCGCCTGCACAGACTCTTTTAATTGTCCCTTTAATTCGCTTATTAAAACAGCATAGTTGCTCAACAGTTGGTCGATGCATTTATGTAGATCGTCTTTGCTCTCATGGGTTTGAATACCATGAAGTGATTTTATAGCCGTTTTCATGTGATTCAATTCGTCCGTACATGATTCAGCCCGGGTGAGCATAAGCCGGCAGTTGTCTCGCAAACTGCTGCAGTCACCACTGGTGGCAGACCGAAGCGTTTGAGCTGCGAAATCATTTCGAAGCTGACCACGTTTTTGGATAAAAAAAAGTTATGAGAGATAGAGTCACGATAAACAAAAATGCGAGGTACGTACAACTGCTTGTACATACACGGTGGGGCTAATATAATAAAGGTAGAGAAGGCTGAACATCATACACAGTAGATCGACGAGATCGACGAAGAAATCTGGATTGTGTAAACAGGCAGTTTACTTATAGTACAACACATGTATGGATACAACTGATACATCAGCCACTGCAACCGTCCCTTTAATAGGTACGGATGGTGAAGCAGCCTTATTGCGGTCTTCCCAAGAGTGGACAACCAATGCTCAGATGAGGAAGACATACTGTATGGAAACTAAGGCGGTGGGCGGTTCCTATTAGGTGGAAGAGCCTGTTAAGAGCATTAGAGGACAGGCTGTTTTGCTAGCCGTCGCACATATGTTCCATGTAATTACGGTGTCTGTGTTCAGTGCCTCATCAAACCAAGTGTTATTCGTGCAGCCTAGTAAGTCCAGTAAATCATCGCAAGTATACTGATAGGGGTAAGATTAAGTTAAGCGGAGCATATCCATGTCGGGTCCATGTAAGTAGGTTTGTGCACCTATACTTATGAGAATACGGGTAGACAGTGATTTGCTAAGTGTCAGTTCAACAAACAAATATATCTTCAACTAGGGGTAAAGATAGCTAGGGTAAAAAAAGTTGCGATATCAAAGCCATTGTGGATACTAGGTATGAGAGAGAGATCACCGATGAAGAGCGTGAATTCTTGACAATGGAAACTAGTATCGATGGCAGGTCTCGAGAAATGAAGACAGCCGGTAGCAAGTAGGTCTTTCCAACGGAATAACAAAACAATGTACGTGCTTCTTATGGGAACTATTATGGTGTGTGATACGAGTAATTTCTTCGAGTTCCCAATGCAGGCAATTAGGTCACACGTTATAGTTAAAATTAGTTAGAAGATGATGTTTAATTTGGAGCCTGTCTACTTAGGACTATGAAACCTATGTCTAACTGGCGAGCCGGAACAAGTAGCGAGTCCCTTCCAATCGGAAACAGTTTAGCATATCGCATAGAAGAGACTTCCTGTTGTGACGCGATATATCAAAATCGAGAGCTTTGAGCTAGAAACCAAAGAGCAGTACGGTTCAGTAAACAATAGGATTTCGATCGAGAGATAACTCAGGTGAAGGCATACATAGCTTATGTAATCACCTCATCATACTGATGCTGAAGTCTTTGAAGGTTGTTCCGGACTTGAATAAGTAGTGATCCAGTCTGATCACGTTGTCCCACCGCACGGGCTACCAGGTGTTCGGACAGCTGCGCTATCACAGCCTCTGCAGTGGCAATCTCCGACTCCATCTGACGCTGGGTAATTTCGTCCGCATAGTTTTCCGATAATTGACGACTCACGGTAGACATTTGTGCTAGCTCATCGCGCAGCTTCTTTATCAGGTTCTCTGCGCTCAGTAGACCGGTAGAAGCGTCAGCAGCACTGGAACAGCAAAAGTACACTGAAGATAGTTTACTTTAGCGACACTGTATCTGCAAGAATGTGACAAAATAAACAGGTGACATGAAAACCGTTGGTAGTCCAAATGAAGTATCTTTTAATGTTTGTGGTTCTCCCCACAATCCGCCCGGAAAAGGAAAGCGCACCACTGGCTAACAATAAGTTCCGTTTACAGATGCATCACTCGAGGAGCAGGCCCATAACGATTTCACATGAACTGACCAAACTTGCGACATAAAGTGAATGAAAACTCTAAAAATAGGCGGACATCATTCGACTTTTTCGTGCGTTTAACGCAAAATGTTAAATTTCAGCGTACCAAAGGAAAGGTCGCGAAAGCAACTTACGCGCTGGAGACTGGTAGACAAGCCTTTCGAGCCTGATTAACTGAAGTGGCCAGTTGCTGTCGTAATTCAGCCAACTGTTGCGCTTTTGGCAACCGATTCTTCACCTCCGATTCCAGTTGTTGAGCTCGGTTTTCCAGACTATCTGTTTCCTTGTCCAACGACTTTAACTGACCAAGTAATTCTGCTACGCATCCAGGTGCACCAGGAGCCCGTGTCTGTGATTGCAACTGGGCTTGCAACTCCCCTATCACCTTTTTGCAATGAGAGAGCTGAAAAATAAGCAATAGGGCGGATTGCGTCGCACAGGTCAAACGGGTGGAGACTAATGGAATGGACCCAACGTACATACTACTAGCCTTTATTTCTGTTAGTGCCACTTCACTAGCACCCACCCTACGAAGTATATGAATGACTCAGGTTAGTACCACTAACTTCAGTTTCTATATGGAATCCGAAAATCCACATGAGGACAAGAAAATACAAGATTCCATTCACTCACTTCATCCTTTATCTCATTCATACTCTGTGTACGTTCGCGGAGTGTTTTCGGAACAATCCCTGGGGATTTCTCGGGGAAGTTTGATAAACGTTCAGCCGCAGACCGCACTTGCCTAGCCACTGTATTCATTTGCTTGATTAGGTTTACAGTGGTGTTAGCGCTAGTACTGGCTTCTGCAGAGCCCAAGTCGTTGTTGACCGATTGAACAATAGCCTCAATGCGCTTCCGTGTTGCTCGAATATCGTTCATAATTTCAGTCACAGATCGACGGGGATCACTGTCGCCGGCAGCTTTCAAGGAATGTTCCAGTTGCTCCATGGCTTGAATCATACCCAACGTAGGGGAGGGTCTAACTGGCAAAGCACCTGTTGTGGTGGTCTCCTCAAGAAGAGCAAATAATTCCGCCTGTAGATCAGCCATCTGATCCATTTGGAGGGATCTCGGAGAACCAGGGGTTAAGATGGATTCTCCCTCGGTCTGATCCACCCTAATGGGTCTTTTTTCTAACCGGGCTTGTTGTAGATCGATCCACTTCGTTTCAGCATCGTCTACAGCACGACGATAGGCAGCGACAGCTTGCTGAGCTTGGGTGTGACACCGTTTGACATCCACAATTCGGTCCTGAAAATAGGTGGAAGTATATTTCAGTTTGCACGCATAGTAGAAGTACGACTGCTTGTGAAAATGAGTCACGAGAATCAGCATTGTGCACTGAAGTGAGGCGTGGCAAATAACTGTTATTTCAGAATGGGAGCTTCAATCAGAGGTTGGTAACCATTATTGCTAGAATAGTGAGATCGGGTAAATACACTTGAGTCTAAAAAGCGGTCAGCTGTCTCATGGACCACGTGAACCATAACGGTTCTTGGCAGTGAGAAAGAGAAACGTGAATTGAAGGATGCGAAAAATGGTGCGCTTGAGCAAGAGCGTAAGCAGGAGTCCATAATGCGCCCGAACAAATGAGCTCGTCCCAAGGAGCATGCAAGGATTGGCGAAATCCACCAACAGATTACCATCAAAAGTATCATTATTATACTTTGTGTATCGAATTGGTGTGAACCGAAGATACAAACGATCCACAAGTGAAGCTGATGTTTTTGGTGCGCTACAACTGATTGTAAAAACTGCCTTGGAGGTTAGCTCTGGTGTACATTCAGCTGAAGGATATCTCGATTTTCGGTAGTCACATAACTGTAGGTTGATAGAGACAAGGCAGTCCTTTCCAACCCTAGTTTATTACAGAGATAGTGCATGTGAAAGTAGGTGAGTATTTACTGACCATTAATACTTCGACTTATGCTTCGGCTAACAGTATCGGCTGGGTAAACCGAAATATGCAAGAACAGACAGTTCCTCAAAAGAGGAATATCGACGAAAGGAAAAGTATTTTGGATGAATGAAGCGGTTATTAGCAACGTGAGTTATTAGCAGGTATACCGTAACCACTTGGCCAAGATTCCATTTCAAGTAACAAGTCTACAAAAACAACGGTTATAAATCTTTCTCGTCAGGTAAGTGCAACAATAAGTGCAACCAACTTGAGCCATAAATGCATTGGTGATTCGAAAATTAGAGTTGACGTTGCCGATGAGGTCCACAAACGGGTATGTGTGTGCGCGCGCACCCGCAGGAATGAAATAGGAGAACTCACTATTCGGTTACGAACTTCCGAGTCAAGTCGCTTCAAGCTTAGGAGTATACTGTCAGCCTGATGAAGCAATCCATTAGCCACGGAGCCAGGGATGTCCTTCACAGGTAACTTCAACTTCTGCTTGAGGGAATTCAAATCCTCAATCTTGCGACCGACTTCAATGGACTTGGATTTCAGCTTTTGCTCGGTTGCCACTATCTGTGTTGGATCGGCAAGAAACGCCCCATGAGTTGCGAGCGGCTTCGTGAGGTCACCTATTTCTGAGTTGATCCAAGCCTGATGTGAAAAAAAATCGATTAAAACGGTAAGGAAAAGTTCGCGCTGTAACAAGAGAAAAGGATAGAAATCGATAGAGAATTCCTTTTTGATTAGGAGCAGTCGGGACCAATCAGCACCACAAAGATATTGAAGGACAACCAACGCTATGAAAAGTCGGCAGTAAATGAACCACGGCGTTCGAGCATTTGATATGGTCTCTTTGTATTAACACAATACCAAACCATAATATATGATTGTTAGGAACACTTGGCCATTCAGCCAAACCACCTTGTTTAGCTTGCAACTATTAAACCGAAAATGTGAATAACTCTGAATTGTGGATTGGCTCTTAGCCGATCCACTAACAAACAGCGTCATGAGAAAGCAACCTAAGGTACAGCCTGGCGGGTTTAGAACTTACAACTCCCACACTAGACGTGAACAATGTACCGCAACCAGAGGTAGTTGACAAGGGTTGGATTGAAACGTTATCCAGCCTCAATTACTCTGATAGCCGAAATAGACATCTAACTTGTGAAACCACGGGATGGGGTGAGCCATTGACCTCTGTCCGTAGAACGGTTCTTTTAGGTTTGGAGTACGGTTATTCTAACGGGGCAAGAACAGTTAGATACAAGAAGAGCTTTTTTGGACCAAAGTGAACTCTACTTGTATCATCAGTGACATACAGATGCATAGGTTCATGGGCAAGAGTTTCGGTTACCCATTACATTAGGTCCTGCATACGTAGTAACAAAAAACGACACACACGCGAGGCATAATTTCAATCCCCCAGTCACAAATTTCTCGAAAAAAGCACAGACAGGTGAGGTTAATCAACTAACCTCTAGCTGGTTAAGACTGGCCGATAGCGAAGTGGGCTCGGAAGCAACTTTTTCCAACTGCGTCTGCTTGACTGTGATTGCTTTGGACAACAAATCAAGCTGCTGACTGGCAGTCCCGAGCATTTCAGGGGGTAGTGCAGATACTGGCATTTGGAGATCTCGGCGTTTCTGTTGTATCTCCTCCTGTGTGTCCTGAGGAGAAAGAAAACCATGATACATATAGTGTATTGCAGTGCGAAGAGGTTCAACATGGCATCAGAAGCAGGAAATTGAGTAAATGAACTCACATGCAGCACCTTAATCTGTTGAGCAACTTGGTCCAAACTCAATTCACCCAATCCAGAAAACTGCTGACCAAGCAATTCGTTTGCCATTTCCAACTGATTGCTTTTCTCTGACATCCAGTTGCACAACGCGCCAAATTGTGTTTGGGCTGGCAGTGGTAGTCGACCATCCAACCTATCTTGCCCCGGTTGGCCATCCAATGCACGACTGGTTTGGTTAAAGAGATTTTCCATCTGCAACAACTGTAACGAAGGCAGAGATACGAGATAATAAGGATAGCCATCACGCAGAAGACACAAACAAGTGAGTTAATGGATAAAACCGTGTTATGCACAAAGAACTAACCTTGGTCTCAATACCGAATTTCATAGCTGCATCTGTGGTTGAGTCGGATAGTTGTTTGCCAAGAGCACGAGCACGCGTGAGCAGCGTCCGAGCCTTATTCATCTGGTCTTCCACCTCCTGACGATCCTTCCGGCCAATTCCTGGTCTGGAAAGGATTGATAAAAATACTATAGCGTTGCGATTGAAGAACAACAGACTGATGTGTAATCATGCTTTGCTAACGGATACGGAGTTAATCATGTAATTGATTAAAACTCCGATATCTCACCACAATTTTTCATTTTCCACGGAATCGACAGGTGGCCGTAACCCCATCTCCTCTGGATGTTTATGATTCATATTTCTTACTTCAACATCAAATTACATGCACGCACGGTTAAACAATCGTTTGAAAATCCACATGAGAGTAATATGTGACTCCAGCGAATCTTCCTCGTTACTGATACCAAGTTAATGTGCTGCGCTGACTGCTTCGTTTAGGCCGGTGTTCAGGACATCTATGAACATCTCATTGATACGGCACTACACTAGGAAACACAGTTGTTGGAATAATACAAACTCTTTCGGTCTCGTTTCAGTTTCGTTTTAACAAGAACGTACTTTGCTAACGAGCGTTCAACTTCAAATACACCCAAATCAATGTTCAACGAGGAAGTGAGATTGATGGATCTACAAGTACGACTTCCAACATACAAAGCACGAAAAGGTGGAATGGATGGTCGGTTGTAAGGGGATTTTCAACACCGACAGATGTAGTATCACATCAGTGTCTTGATCGATGATCACATCGACGTGTTGATTAACAGGATAACTGAAATATCGGAGTATTCGGTAGAAGAATACGACAAACGATAAAAAGGTACGTCTTTAACCTCTCACCCATCCCTCACATCATTCTATTTATGAAGTTTGACTAGAAATTTGCTCTTTTTTTTAAGAGATGGATGACCAACTAGGCTTGGGACAACAAATAAAAACAGCACTTCAGTGTGGTAGGTGAATCTTTGGTAGATTTTACCGTGAGTATCAACTATCAACATACATTCTGCGTTGTCTAAACTGTCTAACTCGAAAGTCTGAGCCTGAATCGGAATAAAAGATAATTACTCTTAACTGAGTAACGCACAGGCTATATAATACATACTGGCAATACTGCCTGTGATCTAGAAATGGGAGTTCGATATGAACTGGACGGTAAAGTGATAAGTGACCCCAGACATTCGGCAAAGACTCCCAAAGGTCAGTCAGTGACTTGTTTTTGTTTGCCATTGTAGGCATCTGCGTATCAGTGTGGTAGGTGAATCTTTGGTAGATTTTACCGTGAGTATCAACTATCAACATACATTCTGCGTTGTCTAAACTGTCTAACTCGAAAGTCTGAGCCTGAATCGGAATAAAAGATAATTACTCTTAACTGAGTAACGCACAGGCTATATAATACATACTGGCAATACTGCCTGTGATCTAGAAATGGGAGTTCGATATGAACTGGACGGTAAAGTGATAAGTGACCCCAGACATTCGGCAAAGACTCCCAAAGGTCAGTCAGTGACTTGTTTTTGTTTGCCATTGTAGGCCATCTGCGTACTCACAACACTTTTGTGTGTGGTACATGGCGTTGAGTTTACATTCTCGCCAGTGAATAGCACACCGGACTCAGTATGACGGACACTATGTTCCTGATGTGCGAGTCTTGACTATGCTAGAGCCTACAGCGTCTGGAAGAGCATTCAGTACTGCTTGTCTTTTCTTCGGTTGTTGGTTTTTACACGCGTATTTCTATACCAAACGTTCTGATATACGTCAGAATTCATCTTGTCTGACGGGAACTCTTGGTGGCATGACTTCGAAGAAGATGCTTCTTTCTCCTTATCTAACATCCTCCTGTAACCTTTCTACATTCATCGCTTGCATTTACTTTTTATGCCTGTGAGCATGATCTTCAAAAATAAACGATAGGAGTTTGGTATTAACGCAGACTCTTCCCCCATTAGCGAAGCACCATAACGAATGCCGTGGTGACACGCACGATGAATACAATCGCGAATGAATCAACAGCGTTCCACTATACTTTTCAAGCAAATTTGACCCGAAAGAAGTCCCACAGCAACACCACAGACAATGAGAGAAATGAAGATTAAAATTATCGTCCAGTCCCTATATGAGATATCGCAGATTAGCGCATACAAATGAATCACAAAGAAGCCGCTGGTCATTGGTAAATGAACCAAGATCATCCACAACCATAAACAAAGCCTTACCGCCATTAGTCACGCCCTTTGGCTGCTAACTGAGTGGATAAAACGTTGTCTTTTCTGGAGCCAACCGTATGAGTGACTCTTTGCTGCATCCTTAGAGCCAAAGCCCTTACAGTCCTGGTAGGCCCCAGTAGAACGGGAGCAATCGTTTATCGGTTCACTGAACGTATCTGAGTTCAAGTTCATGAAGGAACTTACTTGTCGATTTGGCGCTGCGCACCACCGAGAATATCATCAACATCGTCCAGCAACTGTTCGAACTGAAAGTTCGGACCCAGGACTTTCTCATATTGACTAGCTTTTATAGCGAGGTCTTTTTGTGCCTGGTCATGCAAAGAACTGACATGATGGATCTGTTGACCGATTTGCAACTCAGCGACAACTGGCGGTTGTAGTCGATCAGTTAGGCGTTTACCAAGCTCACGCATCTGGACGATATCGGCAGTCAGTGACTCTAATTCAGCTTGAAGAGAGCGTATCTAGCAGAATAGATAAGAAAGGAGGATAACCAATGAAAGGTGTTAGCGATCAGCAGTCCCGCCGGAATAAAACGTGGATGATACGCAGATTTTCCAAAAAAGTCTATAAAGTACCTTATATACAGATGGGATTCGTATATACACTTTCGGTCATAAATTACCAAGCTTCTGTGACCTCTATATGTGAAAACACAACGACAGACTAGATGACCAACTGGTGAAATGCGAACCACGAGTGTCAAGTTTCTGGTCGGGCTTATGACTACAAGAACTGCACTTATACGATTTATGCACAAAGTGGATGGCCCACCACAAAGGTTTGCTATTTGACTGCTTGGGCCATACTCCATACCTCCAGGTGATCACATTAGCTATGTTTGATCTATCGTGCAAAAACGCACACAATTTAAAAGAAACTGCTGACCACGCACCTGTTTCAGATGAGAAGGCGCCAATTCCAAAGTGGTTTGATCGATCAGTGGTGAAGCACGAGCAGCTAGTGTGATTTGTCTTAGTCGCTGCGACAGTGTGCCATCTAACCGTTTAAATTCAGCCACATCTCTGATCAGCCTTTCCAGACTTCTTTGGCGTTCAGTGGCTGCGTTAACGGCAGTGGACCAGTGGTGTTCTGTTTCAGTAACAGCATTTCGTAACTCGGCTGCTCCGGCAACATAGCTGCGATTGTGCAGAAGGGTAGCAGCACGTTTGCGAAGCTCGTCTAAACCAGACATTCCAGAAACCAGCTCATCATGAATGCTGTGGATATGAAGGGTGAAGCGATAATCAGAAGAAAGCACGGTAAACATGCACAACATATAGGTAGATTCACAAAAACACAAACGGTAGAACGCTTACCGTTGAGCCTCGATACTTGCGTCATTGATAGTCTGCAAATCCGTCAATTTCTTAGTCTGCCCAACGAGTGCTTGAACCCGTTTCCCAAGCCAAGTGACCAGATCGTCGCGATGTTGTTCTAATGCATTAACCTCTTTTGAAACAGCCTCCAGAGTGCTTTGACGTTCTTGAATCTGGGTGCCGAGGGTTGAATAGCGCTCGCGAAGGTCTTTCATTTCCCTTTTGACGTCACTGGATTCTACACAACGAAATTCATCGAGAAAAGTTTCCAAGTAAAACCGAACTGTCAAACACCGGAAGCAATAGGTGGACTCTGGGTAGATGAAATATGGTTAAAAAGACCGTATTGTTTTAAATCATAAAAAATAAAACACACAAAGACGATATGGTAGACCCCAGGGACCTAGAATCGCAACTTCATTCTCGTAAATCAGTTACACAGTCTCACCATACAAGGATCGCTGAAAGCAACGCCAGAGTACGGAGTCGATACAGTATCGTCACTGATCCGTTCACATAGGGGTTCCTTAAAGTAAGGACCATAGCAAGCATGGTAGGTGACTCAGGGTCACGGGAAAGGTACATTCATGTTATGAATGTGACAGTCTACCTCGTAAAATCATTAGAGAGTTGGAGAGTAGTTTGTCGACATATGGGAAATTCAGAAAGAAGCTGACGGGGATGATGGTGTTCGTTTTGTAACCTTTCGAAGAGCAGACACCCACCAAAACAAAAGTTATGCTACGTCAGAGTTATTCATTCGGTCAAGCGAATAAAATGTTAACATTGCTAATATAGAGAAAAGCGGTTGTCGTGTAGCTTAGAGGTGGCAGTCAAATCCTGTCACCTTTAAGGAAATGAACGAGAGCAAAGAACGAAAGAAAGTAAATGCTCAAGTATAATTAGTACAGTGCATGTCGCACTGTAGGTATTCATTTCACTATGAACTACCTTGTTCGAAAGCTGTGGGATCCTCTGAACCCCGAGAACCATGTTTGACTGAATGCGAAAGCGCATCATAGGCCGTTCCAAGACGATAAACTTCGTTTAGTTGATCACCCTGAGCCTTCCATCGGTCAAGCAATTCCTTCGTTTCAGCTGACTGACGCAAGAGTTCCTCAGAGGTCAAAGCGATTGCAGAAAGCCCCTGGACGACACCACATGTCGTAATCAGCCATTCCTCAGCGGCCTGTCGAGCAGCACAATAAGGGGCGTATCGCGCATCGAGCAAGTCTAGATTTCGCGTGGCCAACGTCAACCTATCATCTAACTGTTCCAGACGGGCCTCCAGGACAGAAATGCTCTCTTTCAACTCTTTTGCACTGAGAACGGATGCTGGTAAAGCTCGGACCTGCTGGCCAAGTTCTTCTGTTTGTTTCTTCCGGAGGCCAAGCTGCGACTGAAACAGGAAAAAAACGAAGTTAGTCAAAACACGCGATAGCGACTATACGGTCAGAGTAGCAGTGGAATAGAGGTGGGTGTGAAATATGCCGCCAGAACGACTTCGATTCACAAGATAAAAACAAACAACGTACATTGATATCACTAATGCATCGCAAACACCAAGAGCGGTAAAAAAATCCTTGATATCGGTGAACAACTGGTATGAACATTGGTAGTGATATAGTGGACCACTACTCAAATTGGTTATTAGCAGACTTGATAAAAACAAATCTACATGACCTTGCCCGGAGCCCTCCTACACCATAGGAAATGGTCAACATTAGGTGCCTGCCCCGCCGAACACTAGTGAAATGCTATGGATGGTCTGCTTTGGACAGAAAAACGTCCACCAAGCAAATTTATTGTGGGATAATACGGCGAGAGGTGTATGCAGTTGATGAATGATCAATCGATCACCTATTCTAAAGCGTGAGAGAACACACCGTTTTCCCTGCGCATATATTTTCATCAATTAAAGGAGTCAATGGAACTTGAGCGTATCTGAACAAAATGACGGGAACGATTGAAAGAAAGGTTTGGAAGATCACTAACCTGAACAGCTTGCAGACGCTTTCGCAGGTGACTTTCGGGTGCTCGGAAAAATGGTGGTGAATCCATTAACGCCAAAGTTTTATCTGTCCAACTGACAATGTCCTTAACGTCTCGTTCACATATGTTCATTGTTTCCTGTGTAGCCGTAACGTTTCGCAGTCTAGTCGCGACTTCCGTCTGATCCTTAGCCAAACTACGGTTGGAGAAAGACAAACAACGGAGTTGGGATAGTTGATAGTTTTGACCATTCAAACTGTTCCCTACAAAGAGGAGACGCCTCCAGTGTTTTCGAAATATCGTATCGATGGAGTGCTCGAAAAGAAACCTTTCTCACAAGTTCTGTATTCGGTTGACGAGACTCCACTTGACCGTGGATGCAATCGTCAGACTTTTCAGGGCGATCTTGGACATGTCACCTTCAAACAGGTTGAATAAGTTAGATATCGAATACCTTTGATTCCAATTAACTTACGTACGTACCAGTTTACCTGCATTTAACCCAATAAATTTTGTGTTAACCAGAACCCACCGTATGCATTGGACGGTGGTTATGGAGTCCCTACACAGAGGAATACCGTGGATTTCTCTGCAACATTTTCTTAGTACTAAACCTCACTCCCTATCGCGGCGAACTTTAACCATTCAACGTGTTTAACTATCGATAGCTCGGGTGCATCTAATGGTAGTTGAACGGGCGCCTGCCCATCTGCTGGTTGACCATGACAATTGGCTTGCAATTATCTCGTTACTGTTCGAAGGAACATCATTGGCACGAAGTCGCTTGGATGTTCCCTCTCATCTTTCTTGCGTTATAGTTAAAACATGGATGACAACTTATTCATACTCTAAGTTTGATCAGTCATTTTACGACCTATGATGCCTTGTGAGCTGTCGTTCTTTCATTACCAACCAAAATGTGATCGGGATGATTTCGAAACAATCAATTACATTCGTATTGCAAGATGCGCTTTAGAAACCGTACAAACGCAAGCAGAGTAAATAACGCATACAGAGGATGTATCTTTGAATGGTGACGAAACGTTTTCAAGACGGTTGCCAAACTCGGTGAACAGGTCAGCATTCAAGAAATACACTCATCTGCAAATCAATTTGGTTTTCACGGGAGACTCAATTGAATCTCTCGTTTATGATGTCCTCCAGCTGAATGTGCTGCACACAGGCCACCTCATGGCACGATATTCGATATATCGCAGTATATTTTCATAAAGGAAACTACTCACAAGGTTGTTGAAAACTCTTCGACAGGCCACGACCGGTTTCGCCCTTCTTGGGGCTCATCAGGTAGGCGCAGTCCCCGAGTTTCCGTCAACCTTATGATCTACTTGAACCCAAATTGCACTGTTTTCGAGAAATACACCCATTTGCAAATCAATTTGGCTTTCACGGGAGACTCAATTGAATCTCTCGTTTATGATGTCCTCCAGCTGAATGTGCTGCACACAGGCCACCTCATGGCACGATATTCGATATATCGCAGTATATTTTCATAAAGGAAACTACTCACAAGGTTGTTGAAAACTCTTCGACAGGCCACGACCGGTTTCGCCCTTCTTGGGGCTCATCAGGTAGGCGCAGTCCCCGAGTTTCCGTCAACCTTATGATCTACTTGAACCCAAATTGCACTGTTTTCGAGAAATACACCCATTTGCAAATCAATTTGGCTTTCACGGGAGACTCAATTGAATCTCTCGTTTATGATGTCCTCTAGCTGAATGTGCTGCACAGCACAGCATTCACCTGATCAACAACCCAAACCCTCCAGGACGCTGCATAAGTGCACCTGTCTACCAGGTTAACTTATTTCCTAGATAGTTTGTTTGTTTTACCCAACAATGTGGCTAGCGACAGTGCTAAGGATATCGATTTCACTGGCCAAAGTTGACGAATTCATCCGACCAAATGGCAGGGAACGATACTACTTTGCTAGTCCTCCTCAATGGAAGCATCCGATTTGTCAACTGTAAAATGCTTCTTGTGAGGTTCTGGGGGTAATGTTCACTTGAATGACAGTTGACCCAAGAAGATGAAGGCCCCAAATAATGTACAAAAGAAATGGTGTTTCGTTTCAAGTGAGAACTGTGCCAGCAAAACGAACGTACCTAACATCAGTAGTGTTTACTTACCGTTGGTCCAAAACGTCAATCTGCTTTTCGAACTCGCGCGCAGCCCGTATGTCAGCTTCACTGACAGCCTCATCACGAGCAGCAGCCTTGTCTAAGACTGACTGAACTCGACCGCGTGCAACGTGAAGCGCAACAATTTGCGAGGATAATTCGGCCTGGGCTTGATGCATTTCAGTCGATTCCTCTTGGGTTTTACCCGACACAGGATGGGCTAGACGACGCTCAACTTTTTCCAAACATTGGACAGTTGAGCTCAAAGTATCTGACACGGATTGTCCCTCGGATAGGAGACGTATCAATTCCGTGCTTTTCTGTTTAACGCCTGATATCAAACTCTCGCATCTTTTGAGTTCTCCGATCAGGGGCTTCTTAACAACCTGGTCCACAGCAGCTTGGGTAAAACCGGCCTCCATTAGGCTAGTCTGTAACTTCGGAAAGGTGTCCTTCAGTAAAACCTAAACAGAAGATGATATATGTGGTAAAAGAAGACCCACACAACTTATCAGCATACAGTTGCAAGCTGCTCAAACGAACCTGTAAGTCATGCCCGGTATTTTCCAGTAAGCCAATCAATTCCACCAATGTGTTGGAATGTGATTGTACTTGGCCACGCTGCGAACCGCTCAGCCGGTTACCCATGATAGCAATCCGGCCGAAATCAATACAACGAAACTTCTTCCCCACTGTGTCCAAAGCAATTGTGCGCCGGGAGACCTCATCAATAAATTGTTCGTATTTCTCCTGTGCACTCAACATGTACGCAAGTCGATCACGCACTCGATCGCCTAAATTGAAAAGGCGATCGCTAGCCTCATGGACAGCGTCCCGTACCGTGTGTTCCAGTGGTTTGTCATCTTCTACAGCTACCAAACAATCCAGCGATTCACGATATGCATTCTAGAGCAGGCGAAAAAGTAAAGGAAATAGTCTTTCGATAACACACAACAAGCCTGTGGTGACCTTTCGAAATGTTAGCAGATAAGTGGTAAACTGTCTAGCTAGTGAAGCGCCAAGAAAGACGTAGAGGAAAAATCACCTAAACAACTTGAAGAGGAAAATATGCATTACAATACGCATTGCCCTTTTCTACGATCATGCTCCTACTATGCACACACAAGCGTTCTGAGAGCGAATTCTTCAGAAGGTCATTGTAAGAAAGCGGTCCTTGTAAGGAGCGGCTTTCAAACTCGTCCATCCGCAAGCTTGAAATAAACAATCCCTACCCTTGAAGTAGATTACCTACTTTGTGATGGCGACGGAGTTCACAAAAATGTAACAGGTGACTTCGGCAATCTCACGTGACAGTACTCAATCCCCTATAGTTGGATAGCAAAAAAGAAGTCTCAAATGCTAGGTCACGCGGAAACTACCAAATGAAATAATTACGATAATGGAGTCCACCCCAACAAAAATAAGACAGCACCTTGCTCCGCGTGTACCGACTGACGTGTCCGAGGAAGTTGCGGACCAAGCATGGGAGGTTGCTGATTTCCGCTTGGGCAGTGTTCGCCTCAGTTACAGCTGCGTTAAGGCGTTGAACGGCTGTCCTAAAATTGAACTGCGATGCGTCCATGGTAGCCCCGGTTGAAGAAATCGCAAGAACCGATTCGAATTGTTTGAGCATATTTTGTAAATCGTGTAGTTTGTAGGTCAAGTGTTCCAATGCGTCGAAACTGCCGATAAGCGTTCGAATACGGGATTCCGCTTCGTTGTGAGCCTGGAAATGATGCGGATGATTGAGAGGAGTAGGTGCGTATCCCACATGTGCAAAACAGTTTTTAGGGTGTAGTAAAAAGGTCCAAATTTCAACTCACGTGCTCAGATCGTTCACGAACACCGTTGACCTTCAGCTGCAGTTGTTTACGAGTCGCAGGACTACTAACAGTTACATTTGACCTCAGAAACTGTTCAGCTTGAAACACAATGGACCGAATGGCGGTCTGTCGTTTAGTGAGTTCCTCTAACAAGTCCTAAAAGGAATACAGAAGGTATAGGTCACTGTGCGATTGAAAATTCAAAGGTTTTGTTTAGATGGACACAACCGGCGTACCGGTGGTAGGCATAGCACACAGATATGCTAGTGAATCACTTGCGTTACGGTTATCTAAACGCAGCCATCTTCTAACCATGACAACTTTATTTTCCAAGGCTAGCGGCCAAGAAGAGCCAATATCACAGAGACAAATCCCAATCCACCATAGAAAGTCGTAGATTTCGAACTCCTATTCTAACCAGCTTCATGTGAAATACTGCTTCAAAGGCTGTGATGTAGTATCTGAAGATCAAGTCCGATCATCCCATGTTCCTTCTATGACGATCGCCAAAGCTTTGGAGGTGGATTGACCGTGTAAGCAAACAAATTGTTGACAAATGTACTTCCTCACCTGATGACTATCCAGCAACTGACGGTTAGATCTATCATCCAAGGAAATAGCACCCATGCGGAGTAGGCTATCTTCGCATCCAGTAATCCACTTGCTTTCCTCATCCAAACCAAGTAACAATTGGTTCACAAGTGCCTCCGATTCCGACTTCAGGAGATTTCAAAGAGAAAACCAAAGATGGACAATTAGAGGTTTCAGAATACAAGTAACTTGATATCAAGACACAACAATGGGAGCATCTGACAGGGCGTTACAGAAAGACGTGCTGATGGTATCACCGTAGGATAAGCAGCAAGCGAGCAAGCACAAGTGATTGGGAAAGTTTGAGACCAGATGAATTGAGGGAATGTTACATCATCCAGACAAGGCGGCGAAACCACATGAACAAAGCTCTTCCACTTTACAAATTACATGCTTTAAGGAGTCATAGGTTTTCGCCTACAGAAAAAGGACATTCTGTGACGCGAATTACACAAACTTCTACGTAACCGATATGGTGATAGATCAGGTAGTCGCGAGAACGGAACACCAGTGAGACACAAACTAAAACAGATCATGAAGAAAGCTGCTGTTACAACGTCTATGTTTGAAGTGCAATCTAACCGCAGAACCTAAAACGTTCAAACCAAAAATCAATGGAAACCATCAAATGAGAAACTATTCAAAGGTAGGAATGAAGACAACACACGACAAGCAGACAGTTGCCATTAGAAATCGATAATGGTAAACTAAGTGCCATAAGTAAATTGGTAAATGAGTAAGAGATTATCATATCATGAAGGTTGAAATGGGGAATTATTTTGGTACTGTGTTGGAAACAAGGTAGGAAAGTTGGTTTCGATCCACAAACTCGAAAGAAAAGTGAATGATCAGAAAACTTTCGGACGTATTGTAGGTTAGAAGAAATGATGGCTTTATTCGAAAGTGTATCACAAAGCACCTGGAGACAGCATAAGAACTTTCACAGCTCTGTCCCTCGTCAAGGAAAAAGAAAATTTGTTAGCTGTTTAGCTCCAAGGCTGGGAAAATATATTCATACGAAAGTTTAGAACGTGAATTGGATGTTATTATAAACGTCCTGAAGGAAAACGGTTGGTCATTAATCAGTCTAACTATTGCGACAAATTTTTTTTGTTAGAAATCTCTCGTGTGTGGCGAGGTAGCTCACGAAGCGAGATGACTCAGTGGTTAGAGCGCGAATTTGCTGATCGGAAGGTCCGTCGTTCGAACCCGACCTCTGTCTCTCGACTTCCTCTGTCTAGGCCTGGGTAACCTGGAAGTATCCCAACCCACGTGCTTCCGTTGGGTTGCATGGCAGATGGGCACCGAAAGTGTGTTACAGCTGAACGATTATCTTTTTATCTTTTATATCATGTGTGGTTTAAAAGAGCTTGGAATCAACAGCTTGTTGGAGACGGAACAAAGTCGACTGGGAAAATCATGGTGCATTTGTTCAAAAGTCAAGCAAGATAACGCAAAGACCCACAAGTGAGTTTGTGCCCGTATGATGGTCATGAAGTCTCAAAATATCAGTTAAGCATGTGGACCACCACAAAATAGGGCATCACAGTAGCAGAAGCATGTACGTCACAATGAAAGCAAACGGCCAGCCCTTTTTTTTAACTCAGCAGGTCCAAATTTATGCCAGGAAATGGTGTGGTTGTGCACAACCACTAACCCACCGCTACGCACAACTACGCACTGATGATGTCAGCTCGATTGGTTATGAAACGTTTGCAACCAAATTGCCCAGGTCAGCGAACAAGCCAACGACTATCTACGCTAGCTGAGCTACCGAAATTCTCCTCTATAGAATGCCAGGAAATCCTATATGAAGTCAGGTCTTAAGTAAAAAAAAACTGACGCCAGCACGATATCACATGATGTGGACACCGGATGGTAAAAGGAAAAGTTACTGTGAAAACAGTACACGGCCACAGAAGCGCTTTCTTCCCTCCACAGTGAAAGAGATTGGTGGTTTGTACAAAGCTCGAGAATGAGGGGAAAACATCACCTAAAAGGCAGCAAAGCCTGCTCGGGGAAGGTGCGAAAACGGTTATGCACACGATGGACCACAGCGAAAAAAGCCAGCCCGCAAATGAGGCTCACCCACAGCTAATAAAAAATTTCACAATTCAAACGAAGTCATGATGTATGGACCAAACTGGTATGGAACAGGAACTGCATTCTGCGTTAACTTCGAATTAACAGTAGTAAAGTATCCAAATTTTTCTTCCGTAAAGAGGGATCTTTAGATCCATACCCGATATACAGTTGCAGGGAAGTAGAAATATTAGCGATATTTATTGTCTGTATCACAGCAGTTCCGCCCATCAAATAGATTTTCTACCGCACAGCTGGCTAAACCAGCCCAACCAACACAGACAGCACGGAAAACTCCAAGCGATAGAGTCCATAGAAAAAGTAATTCCAACGTGGACAAGAGATGCCCATAGCAACGAACCAAAACGAAACAACGCGCACAATATATGACCGAAATCTCAACTGCCCAAATATTTCAACAACACAACAAGTCGGACTATAAATGACACAGCCATGACAATAATGACTGATAAGCCCTGTATAAAGAACAGGCCCAAAAAAAGGAGGAAAAAAGAATAGCATAAAAACAACAAACCGTACCCACCGAGAATGTCGCAACCCAAAAAGGTCCACAATTAATTATCACTCATCAGACCACCACAGAAACAAAGTAACCATTCAAAAATTCACCATGCTAAGAATGAAACCAGAAACCCAAAAGACAAATCACAACCAGCATACAAGATGAGGCAGGCATTGCAATCAAAAACACACACGCCATTAAAAATCATACACGGGAGTGAAAATCAACAAAACAAGACACGACGAACGACACACGACACCGAAAACATCTTAAATACAGAAGCGCACTCCGAAAAACTTACATCACAAACACTAGACCCCATATTTTCAGCAATGGCTCCCGATGTAAAACTCACACCAGCCAACGGCGAAAAAGGAGAACACACATCCGACACATCCTCGCCCATCGCCGACGGA